GGAAAGAGTCAGACACTCCAGTATAGGCTACAGGCAGGGCTTCCGGGTGCGCTCAGTCACTCGAGACTGGATCTATCCGTACAAGTGTAAGTTTATAGTTTGCATATTCAAATAGAACATTGTGAGCTGAAGTGGTTGGACGTGTCAGGCGGCTTATATCGATTGAAACTGGGGCGATTGCTGGGACTATGGTCAACACACATATACATAACAGAAGATGTACTCGTAATTCACGACCAGCTCATAATATCTATGACATATGAAGCAGAACTTCCTCGTTCTCGTCTACACCAACAGTATTACTCCCTGTTCATGTACAATAGAGTGTTCCCATTCCTCAGTGCGAAGGGTTAAACTGCTATAAATAATTTGTGTGTTCATGGTCATGTTGTATATATATATATATATATATATATATATATATATATATATATATATATATATATATATATATATATATATATATATATATATATATATATATATATATATATACACCATATTATGATTTTTGGTTTCTCAGCACCATACCCGTGCTCCTTTGTTTCACCGATGTGGAACAAGTCTAAGACCTCCATCACTTCAGGCTTTGCTTCCACATCAATCTTTCAATAAGAGAACAAGTATATTCATCTTGCATAATATCGGCACAGAATTATTTATATATGCATGTCATAATTATTGAGTCATCGCTTATTTCTATTAAAATGCATACCATGTTTGTCTTCAAACGAGTGTGTTTAATGTGCGATATGGCTCATTGCTTCCCTCTCACTGCAGTAATCACTTCGTCAGACACTGGGGGGTCTTATGTTATTTCTGCACCAGCTGGTCCTTTTTCCCCCGATACACGTACAGAGGGTTGGATGTGGAAAATAAACTGCTGTCCAAAACAAACGTTTCTCGGTGTGAAACTGTCTACCTATTCCATACACTGAAACATGTAACAGAACATTCGGAAGTCTGAAGTAGGGTTTCATCCCTTATCAGTCTCATTCTCTGCTTCTCTCTCCTTGTAAAGATCTACCGGCGGAAACCATCAGAAAGATACTCAGTAGATTCGTTCATTCAATCATCTATTCCACCACAAGGCTTTCTTTACCCTGCCAATATGATCAATATGTAACCTTTCAAGGAATTAAGACACAGTATGATAAAAGAGTAACGTTTAACATTAAATATGCACGGCATATTTCACCATATATAATTGTCTAAAACAGGTATCTTGATCGTGTTATGTACAACATGAAATAACATTCAAATTACTGAACTACAATTTATTGCTTTAAGGAAATGCTTTCAATGTTCATATTTATGAAATGATGAAATGAGAAGTTGAAACATAATCATTTATATATGTTCATAATGTATTAAACGAAAGCTGAATTGTGTGTGAGAGACTGAAGATTAGCAACACTGTGTTGAACAACGGTTTTCAATGGGCTAAACCATACCTCAAGGTCAGTGGAGTGGAACTGGCCTCTGGGTGAGGACAAGAGATCTTACACGGACATTCTAGTCGGAAAAACGGTGTGTAGGAAATGCATCATCTGTTTCAAAAGTCGTGTGGGGCGATTTATGGTACAGACAGAATAAGTCTGGTTATTCAGAATATGATTTGATTTTTTAACTCACAGAGATTTTAAAGTAATGAAATATGTTTCCCAGATACAAAACAGTAATTATGTATCAAGTAGCACAGAGTGTTCAAGTGAGTAATCGCTTGAAATTAACACTCAGATCAAATAAATGTATGAACACATTATTTTCACGCCATATAAATGTATTTAGTACTTACTCACAATGTTTCTTAAAAGTTTAGTTCACCGCGTACACTTTTTATCGCTGACGAAATGAAGATGAAGTTTTTAGACACCTGCTTTCGATCAAGTCAAATGTCATGTTTAGCAGAAGAGAGCTGTCAACACGAAAGGCCAACATTTCTACCCGTAAGGTATCATATTTAAAGTTAAAAAGCTTATGGGCGCGCCTTTATTTTCAAAGTAAGATGAAACTGTACACAAACAGGTACGATTGAGTAAATTGATATCTACGTGTTAAGAACATACCTGTTATAAAATATGTTTAAAACTATGAATAAAGAACAATGAGCACATTTGAAAGTTGTGATGTAGGATGTTTTTCATCCAACATGTACTCCGTCTGACACATCAACAAACGTTCTGGATGTATACACAATACAGGTATAAATCATTCAAAACTGCCTTCTACGGGAGATATCGCTTGGATCAGATCAAACAATATCTCCTAGGAGATATCGCTGTAATTAAACTGCTTTGCAGACAATGGTGACGTCATCGATTACCACGGACGCCACAATCAAATGACATCACTCACCTGTCTGCCACTGAAGCTGGTTAGCTTACTTTGTATGCTGGAGACTCTGGTTATTATTGTTTACAAACTGACAAAAGTTGGAAGAAAGATGTTGGATGACATGTAGAGTCGCTATTTATATTCTTTGTCCACTTATGCACCACCACCACCATCAAAAGAAACTGATTCTGGATACACAGGTGCTGGTGGTATGCGCCCTAATCTTAAACCAGCAACAGCTTTGCTGTAAGAATGTGGCATGTGGCATATGTCAATATAGCCTGAGCAAATAAGGCGTATTTGATATTTGACAACACTATTCACATAACAGGAACACCTCTGAAGTTACAATATAAGAGGGTTGGCAGGCAAGTTTGAGCCTAACTACATATTACTCAAACTCAAACATTTAAAGGTAATATGTCAAATTGTGAGTATCTGTTGAAATAGCAAAAGTCAAAAATTGATGAAAGGCTATTTAATGAACAAAAGTCCGTTGTAAATGTGCCACACAATGCCAACAAACAAAATGTGACCGATGGTCAGTCAGATCACCTGTCAAAATGAGAGTATCTGACCAAAATTAAAACCTAAACACATGACGAAAACAAATTCACTGTTCAAAACAACCCCCAGCACCGTGCATGATATGCCTGGCACTGTCGTCTCATGCTCCCAGTTAGTGTCTGGATGGTCGCCAAGGGAAAATGGTTCCATTCTTCAGTAAAATAATTGCCGAGTGCCTGTAGAGTTGCCGGAAGGACAGGGCGTTCGATAGGGTTGATGGTATGGTGACCAGTGAGTGAGTATGGTTTTACGCCGCTTTTAACAATATTTAAGCAATATCAAGGCGGGGGACAACATAAATGGGCTTCACACATTGTACCCATGTGGTCTGCAGCGTGACGAGCGAACGCTTTAATCACTAGGCTACCCCAACGCCCCTTGGCTAACGCCAAAGATGTTTTCAACGTGACATTGTGGTGACCCAGTTTCAAATATTGCCATGAATCTGCCTGTCTTTGACGCTACTTTGACGTCAATCCTCAGTAGCAAAGGTTGTAGTGCTCTTTGATAATGATGTGCAACGATTATGTCACGACACATCCAAACACAGGTTTTCAAGCACCCCGTGCACATCCTGCCCATGATTGCATGCCTCTGTCCGTTCATCATGAAATTGAGGTTCTATAGGGGTTACCCAATCATTGTGTATCTTTATTTGTATATTAATATATAATCAAAACTTGATCCTTAGCAAACTTTGAGTAGCATATGATGGACTGCGTTTGATGGCGCTATTTTCAACATAATCCCCTCCAAGGTGCTCACACTTCTGGCAACGTTGCTGCACTGCTTGGGTCCCACTGGCGGAGAAGGCGTTCTTCCTCGTGTTTTAATACTCTTCCAAAGCAGAAATGGCGCCATCATCATTTGCATTATTCTTACCAGAAGTTCAGTTTGGCAAGAGATGGAAATCTGACGGAGCCAAATCTGGTTAATATGGAGGCTGTTCAATGAGTTCAAAGTCTCAGTCATGCATTGCATAAATGGCGACTAACAGTTTTGTCCTGGTGGAACAAAACACCTTTATTAACAATACTGACAATTAGTGGAAGGACTTTGCCTTTTCGTCACAAGACTGCTTTGACTGATGTTTTGTCTCTGGCTGATAGTGGTGAACCCAAAACATTACTCAACAAAATCAGCTGGTCTCCCTGATTATTCTGACGAGAGATGATGAACCTGGAGCGTTTCTGGTCAGTTGTCAGCTTGCTGAAACCTTTATCATGCCCAGTTCTTTCCTCAGACTGTTCTCAACTCATGAGAGATGAGAGATACCCACTGTATTGTTTATGTAACGCGTGGTAAGTCGTCGATCATCCATAATCATATCATGTATTTGACCCACATTTCTCTCCCTGATCTTGTATCTACTTCCATTCTTTCTCTTCCCCAATGACAAAGGAAGGATCATCGTCCCCTAATGTTGCCGGCATGGCTGGGTGTTGGGGTTGGAGCTCCCTCAGTTGAAAATATTTGATGACAGTCCGGTTGTCACCTTTGTTTGTTTTCATCAACAACCATCTTGACACTATTATGGATGCAGAAATATGCTGCCTGATTGTGTAACTGGTTCAAATGGAGCCCGTAAGCATGAAAAGTATTGTACTTAATACAGGCGAACTGCTAAGGGTATACTATATAGTCTTGTACTGAGGCTCAGAGCTTTAGACTTTTCATCCTCCTTTCATATGTTTAAGTATATACTCAACTGTTGCATGTCCTCCAGGCGTGAGACACATACACTTCTATAGTAACAAGGTCAGAGAAACCGTCACAAGTACCAGAATCATGTATACCTTATTGTAATTAACCAATACATTAGGTTGATGATATTTTATTGTAATTAACCTACAAATTACTTTGATTGTACATAAACTGTGAGATAAATCCGTCCCTTTATCACAGACAAATATCATTATACACTCAATTGACGAGCATACCAAAAACCACTTCGTGAGAGTGACCGACTAATACTTATTACATATGCATGTTGATATTCATGTTTGTATTCATGTGTACATTTAATTCAGACAGGCTAGACATTCAAGCTCGGCATCTACAGAATAGCAGAGACACGATGTACATAAGAACTCTCCTAATCACTAGTTAGAGCTTTGTAACAGTAGTAAAACAGCATAGCGTTCCAGTTGATAGAACAGCCTGCAGAAAGAGAACCGATCAGATTACTGACAGATAGAGCGTCCCCGTCGAGAGGCGTAGTCAACTACTATATGCATACATAACAAGACTAGTTATACAGACATGACAAGGGACAATATATCACTAAAGCAGGTACGTGTCTTTTAATATACCCATTGAAACATGTCTTGTCATATACTGGCATAATTTCTAAAGGAGAATGATTTCGTATATTTGGCCACCAAAAGTCGTGAAACCCGCTTAAAACAAGTAATACAGAACATTCCTCATTCATGAATAACAAATAGGTGCACTGAATAGCACTGAAAACCAAGGCTGAATGAATTATTCTTCTCTGTAGGAGTCAGTTGATATGAGACAGAGACCGCCTGGGTAGTATTATCACGTCATTGTGTTGCCCTGTACGCTGTGTACGATTCTGACATACCCACTTGTGTTTGTGCCTCAATGAGTGACAACAATATATAAGTGTTACAAAGTTGCATAAATTAAATTAAAGGCAACACTAACTGTGAACATGATTCAGAAGTATACAACTCTCTGCTTCGTATTGGGCTGAAGGTGAACCCCTAAGGGTCTTCAGCAGTTCGAAAGCAAACGAGTATTGGACAGAACGTCACCCGATTACTCTGGTCTGCCTTGGTAGGAGGTTTACACAGAGTACACAGTCAGAATATTGATCAGTTTAATGCCATGCATATCTTTCTCTTACTCTTTTATTTCAGTATTGGAGGCCGCGTGGCCAAGATTACAATATATAACCATTTTTTTACAGTATGTGGGAAACGTTTAAAATACAATTATCATAAAGTACACATTTCCATTGATACAGGTTTCTTTTGAAGTACGAGGCAATTCATTTCAATATGTGTGTTTTTGTTGACGACATCAATTCAGTAAATTTTTAGTGGGAAGGGTAGTTGTGGTAATAATTGGGGATAAACTTATCTCTACTCTCTGTAAAATAAGGGCAAACCAGACGAAAATGGTACTCATCGATAACCATATAATCACAGTGTTGACTATTAATATACTTTGCTACAACTCATTTTTGTACTTTTAAGTTATGAGAAGAATACTACGATATTTGGTTTGAATATGTGCCAAATATTTTCTAATGAAAGGTGACGTAAGATACAATTATGGACGAACACGTACTAATAGGATATATACTGAGACAGAAATGATGAATTACCAATTTTCTTGTACCAGTTTTACATTAATATATCTACAAATCGCTATTTAGACATAGACACAACTGTTTCATATGCCAACAATCTTGGGTAATCTAGACATAGGCAAAGCGGGTCTACAACAACATAGTTCTAACTTATGAAACCCACTTTATACCATCCTGATCATCATGTGTTTGAAGCATAGTGTATCAAGCAAGGGGATACCGTTTTGGGTCCATACGAATATTCCACGCCAATAGCGTATACATTTAGCAAAATAGTGCGCACACAAATAATGCCTGCCAACATCTCCCAGAACTACATTTGTGGAACAATATATATTTATTTTAAGAAATCTTTTTAAATATATACTTTGAACCTTTTAAATAGATTTTCTATAAGTGAATCTCCAAACTTCAAGACCGTAATACAAAACCGGTGCAATTCTCACAGGATATATGATCTAATTGTGCCATATGTTTTGAATAGAAGATGAAATTTCCTGTTTGAATGTTATCTATATAACGAAGTTTGAGTTTAATCTTCAAAACGTATTTCAACAACAATTCAATCTGGGTGACGGTATCATGCTCGAATCGCATGTGACCTGATTTACTAATCAATTTAACGTACCCAAGAGACACCAATTCTACTCTCAAGAACTTTACAAGGGGAGGGGTGTTGGCCATCTCAGTTACCCGCTGTCACTTCTACAAGGTTGAGTTCATGTATACCCCTTCCCTGGAAACATATAATTCAGTTTGTACCCCCTTCCCTGGAAACATATAATTCAGTTTGTACCCCCATCCCTGGAAACGCATTCTTCAGTCTGTACCCCCTTCCCTGGAAACACATTCTTCAGTTTGTACCCCCTTCCCTGTAAACACATTCTTCAGTCTGTACCCCCTATCCTGGAAACATATTCTTCAGTCTGTACCCCCTATCCTGGAAACATATTCTTTAGTCTGTACCCCCTATCCTGGAAACATATTCTTCAGTCTGTACCCCCTTCCCTGGAAACGCATTCTTCAGTCTCTACCCCCTTCCCTGGAAACATATTCTTCAGTTTGTACCCCCTTCCCTGTAAACATATTCTTCAGCATATACCCCCTTCCCTGGAAACATATTCTTCAGCATATACCCCCTTCCCTGTAAACATATTCTTCAGCATATACCCCCTTCCCTGGAAACATGTTCTTCAGTTTGTACCCCCATCCCTGGAAACACATTCTTCAGTTTGTACCCCTTCCCTGGAAACATATTCTTCAGTTTGTACCCCCCTTCCCAGGAAACACATTCTTCAGTCTGTACCCCCTTCCCTGGAAACACATTCTTCAGTCTGTACACCCTTACCTGGAAACATATTCATCAGTTTTACCTCTTTCCCTGAAAACACATTCTTCAGTCTGTACCCCCTTCCCTGGAAACATATTCTTCAGTTTGTACCCCTTTCTCTTAAAACACATTCTTCAGTCTATATCCCTTGTAAACATATTCTTCAGCATAAACACCTTCCCTGGAAATATATTCTTCAGTCTGTACCCCCTTCCCTGGAAACACATTCTTCAGTCTATATCCCTTGTTAACATATTCTTCAGCATATACCCCCTTCCCTTGAAACATTCTTCAGCATATACCCCCTCCCCAGAAACATATTCTTCAACATATGACCCCTTCCCTGGAAACATATTATTCAGGATATATACCCCCTCCCATGGAAACATATTCTTCAGTATTTCCCCCCTCCCCTGGAAACATATCATCTTCAGCACATACCCCCCTCCCATGGGAACATATTCTTCAGTATATACCCCCTTCCTAGAAACATATTCTTCAGCATATACCCCCTCCCCTGGGAACATATACTTCAGCATATACCCCTCCCCTGGAAACATATTCTTCAGTATATACCCCCCTCCCCTGGGAACATATACTTCAGCATATACCCCTCCCCTGGAAACATATTCTTCAGTATATACCCCCCTCCCATGGAAACATATCATCTTCAGCATATACCCCCCTCCCATGGGAACATGTTCTTCAGTATATACCCCCTTCCCTGGAAACACACTCTTCATTTTGTACCCCCTTCCCTAGAAACACATTCTTCAGTCTGTACCCCCTTCCCTGGAAACATATTCTTCAGTCTGTATCCCCTTCCCTTGAAACGCATTCTGCAGTCTGTACCCCCTATCCTGGAAACATATTCTTCAGTCTGTACCCCCTTCCCTTGAAACGCATTCTTCAGTCTGTACCCCCTTCCCTGGAAACACATTCTTCAGTTTGTACCCCTTCCCTGGAAACATATTCTTCAGCATATACCCCCTTCCCTGGAAACATATTCTTCAGCATATACCCCCTTCCCTGTAAACATATTCTTCAGCATATACCCCCTTGCCAGGAAACATATTCTTCAGTTTGTACCCCCATCCCTGGAAACACATTCTTCAGTTTGTACCCCCTTCCCTGGAAACATATTCTTCAGCATATACCCCCTTCCCTGGATACATATTCTTCAGTCTCTACCCCCTTCCCTGAAAACATTCTTCAGTTTGTACCCCCTTCCCTGGAAACATATTCTTCAGCATATACCCCCTTCCCTGGAAACATATTCTTCAGCATATACCCCCTTCCCAGTAAACATATTCTTCAGCATATACCCCCTTCCCAGGAAACATATTCTTCAGTTTGTACCCCCATCCCTGGAAACACATTCTTCAGTCTGTACCCCCTTCCCTGAAAACACATTCTTCAGTTTGTACCCTCTTCCCTGGAAACATATTCTTCAGCATATACCCCCTTCCCTGGATACATATTCTTCAGTCTGTATCCCCTTCCCTGAAAACATTCTTCAGTTTGTACCCCCTTCCCTGGAAACATATTCTTCAGTGTGTACTACCTTCCCTGGAAGCACATTCTTCAGTCTGTACCCCCCTTCCCAGGAAACACATTCTTCAGTCTGTACACCCTTCCCTGGAAACACATTCATCAGTTTGTACCCCTTTCCTTGGAAACACATTCTTCAGTCTGTACCCCCTTCCCTGGAAACACATTCTTCAGTTTGTACACCCTTCCCTGGAAACATATTCTTCAGTTTGTACCCACTTCCCTGGAAACACATTCTTCAGTTTGTACCCCCTTCCCTGGAAACACATTCTTCAGTCTGTACACCCTTCCCTGGAAACAAATTCTTCAGTTTTACCCCTTTCCCTGGAAACGAATTCTTCAGTCTGTACACCCTTCCCTGGAAACATATTCTTCAGTGTGTACCCCTTTCCCTTAAAACACATTCTTCAGTCTATATCCCTTGAAAATATATTCTTCAGCATATACCCCTTCCCTTGTAAACATATTCTTCAGAATATACCCCCTTCCCTGGAAACATATTCTTCAGCATATACCCCCTCCCCAGAAACATATTCTTTAACATATGACCCCTTCCCTGGAAACATATTCTTCAGCATATACCCCCTCCCCTTGAAACATATCATCATCAGCATATACCCCCCTCACATGGGAACATATTCTTTAGTATATACCCACTTCCCTAGAAACATATTTTTCAGCATATACCCCCTCCCCTGGGCACATATTCTTCAGCATATACCCCTCCCCTGGGAACATATTCTTCAGTACATACCCCCTCCCCTGGAAACATATTTTTCAGCATATACCCCCTTCCCTGGAAACATATTCTTCAGCAAATACCCCCTCCCCTGGGAACATATTCTTCATCATATACCCCCTCCCCTGGAAACATATTCTTCAGCATATACCCCCTCCCCTGGGAACATATTCTTCCTAAATGTACTAGTTAAATAACGTGTAACACTCGTCACGATTGTTTTCACGGTGTATGTACACGAACTTTCAAACCGATACTCAACTATATGTGTATGTATTATTGTTATTAAAAACACGAGACATACATTATTATACGAGACAATTACTTTCATGGGAATTCGTTGCTATACAAATACCCATCAGGATTCCATGCCGTCCACCAACAAGTGGAATTATATAATCAAGTGTGCCACACAGTCGATAGCACAGAGTTCTATTGTATGATATTCTGTGATATATCAAGAGCGTATGATAGAGTATGGCATACTTGGCTAATGTATAAAGTGAAATGTTATGGTATAAACGATGAATTACTAGAGTTGCTGGCTGATTACAGCTTGCAAACAATCTTTTTTTTAAAACGGCACATTATCTGATACGGAAGAGTTGAAAGTGCTGGTGCACCACAGGGATCGGCACTAGGCCCTTTCCTGTTCATTGTGTACAGTAATGATATAAGTGAACTCTTCAACAAGATTATTTGCCGACGATACATCACTGGGCATATCATCTAATACCATTGAATATATAATGACTAGTATGAATAGCAAAGTAAACAAACTTAACAATATTGGTTAAGTTTTTATAACCCCAGCAAAACAAAATCAATTCTCGTTTCCACTAAGTGAGAAAGCTTAAGTTTATGCTCAGTCGTAGTGGGTTGAACAAGATTTATGTATTGTATATGAGATCACATTTGAATATGCATGTGAGGTTTGGGATGTTCCTACCAAAGAGCAGAGTGGCAGATTAGAAAAAAACATCAACTAGAAGCAGCATGAATTGTAATTTGTTTACCAAGCGATACTTATGTTAAAAGATTATATTAGGAATCTTCTAAGCGCAGGAGAAACCGCTTGTGTTTATTTTATAAAATATATAACAATATAACACCGTCATACTTCAAAGATCTAGGACCTATCTCTGTCAGTGACAAAATAAAATATAATATAACCATGCCTATATTACGTACAAAGATTTTTGAATCCTCGTTTATACCGTCCTTTATTACATCGTTGAAAAGACTACCCATTCAACAAAAGAATATCAAAACCTTCTCACGATTTAGATCCAGTTTAAGAACAGATAAATCAACAGTTCCACCATATTTCTCATGTGGTCTCAGACAAAACCATCATACATACAAAATTAAGACATTGCGATAGTGAATTAAAAAAATATTTATTTAGAAAAGGTTTAAACGAGAATGCAAAATACCAATGTGGCAACTCATGTGAACATTCAAATAATATTTTCATGCTAGTTGACAATGTAGCTTTACCAGATCATATGAACGACAAGATATTTAGAATGTACATACATATATAAGAAAACAAAAAGGTTTGAGTGAGAAATAAATATTCATACATTTGTCTACTTCTCTTCTTTCCTTTCTGTCAATTTATGCATTAATTGTAAATATTCATACATGTAAATTTATGGGAGATGGCGTTCTCAATTGAGATAACATGCCCAATTAATTTTTTGAGACAACTATATATTTAAACTAAAACATACATACTCATTGGAGCCCAAGATATAACTTGGGTGTCATGTTTGCAGATTGCTCAGGGCAATCATTGATTTTTGTTCAAGCATATCCTGTATATCAACAAGCATGGTTAGTCACAACGGCATGGGTGATTCATGTCAAAATCTTAGGCGCACCAGGAGCCCTGCCAATCTGAAAGAGTGTGCATGCAGTTTGTTAAGCAGGAAGTCACCTCGCCACCACACCCGATCCGCATGGTTTTACATACTTCAGTGGAAGATACCATGCTTCATACCATAAAGTGTCTCATGAGAAATACTATGCAGCTTGAACGCCTTTATAGAGAGAAAAAATATATTCGCATGAATGATGATGCACAATAATTTGAATGGTTTAAAGAGTCTGTGTGTAACTGTGAAACGTTCACTGTCTCCTGTATTGAATATCTCCATTTCAGCAGTACACAACTTCCTGGTCCGAGAGCACATTTCACGCCCATTGCTTGTAGAGTTACAGTGGCCGCCTTACCCACCACAAGACACTTGTTGATTGAATACCTTCACTATGGATGGACGTAGGAAGCCCTCTCGGAAAGATTCCATGGACGCCTACTATACAAGGTACGTTACACTTTCAGCTATGTTTAATTTGTAGAAAAATATGAAAATTCATTTGTGAAACTTGTAAAGATCTATTTCTACTTTTTATACATTTCTGGTTGAATATCTTGATATTGTATTGTGCAATACGATACAATCCTGAAATAGTCACAATATGTATTTCATCTTTGCATTTCAGTTGGCAGCACCGGTTTCCTTCTACCGATTATGTGTTTAATGGGGTAAGTCAATGACGTCTCTCATATGTCTTATGTATATAGGCCCATCCCCTGGAACATGTTTCTAATGTATATGTTACAGGGAATATGTATAATCAGGGAATATATATATAATCCCTGAAATTTTCAGGGAATATATCTAATGTCTGATTCACTCAGGGAATATACATAATCCCTAAACTTTTCAGGTATTTTACATATTCCCTGATTTAACATCAAGTTTTTTAGACATATTCCCTGAAATTACTATCGAGGCTCTTAAATGGTCAAACTTGATACCAAAAAAACAAAATTATTTATGGGAAGACAAATTTATTTGACATGATAACAAATACCTTTCAAAACAATGGATAGACTTAACAAACAAGAACAATTAAGTTTTATACCCTTCATCTGGAACATGTGTCTAATGTATATACCCCTTCATCTGGAACATATGTGTTGTTATATTCACAATAGGCAGACATGCTGTCATATAACTGGAATACCGTTCAAAGCCTCGATACAGACAAACACTTTTCACAATAGGCAGACATGCTGTCATGTAACTGGAATACCGTTCAAAGCCGCGATATACCGAACTCCTTTCACAATAGGCAGACATGCTGTCATGTAACTGGAATACCGTTCAAAGCCGCGATATACCGAACTCCTTTCACAATAGGCAGATATGCTGTCATGTAACTGGAATACCGTTCAAAGCCTTGATACACCGAACACCTTTCACAATAGGCAGACATGCTGTTATGTAACTGGAATATCGTTCAAAGCCGCGATATAACGAACTCCTTTCACAATAGGCAATCACGATGTCATATAACTGGAAAACCGTTCAAATCTGCGATATACCGAACCTTCTTTCACAATAGGCAAACACGATGTCATATAACTGGAATACCGTTCAAATCCGCGATGTACCGAACCTTCTTTCACAATAGGCAAACACGATGTCATATAACTGGAATATCGTTCAACTCCGCGATATACCGAACTCCTTTCATAATAGGCAAACACGATTTCATATAACTGGAATATTGTTCAAATCCGCGATATACCGAACTCCTTTCACAATAGGCAAACACGATCTAATATAACTGGAATACCGTTCAAATCCGCGATATACCGAACCTTCTTTCACAATAGGCAGACACGATTTCATATAACTGGAATATCGTTCAAATCCGCGATATACCGAACTCCTTTCACAATAGGCAAACACGATTTCATATAACTGGAATATCGTTCAAATCCGCGATATACCGAACTCCTTTCACAATAGGCAAACACGATGTCATATAACTGGAATATCGTTCAAATCCGCGATATACCGAACTCCTTTCACAATAGGCAAACACGATTTCATATAACTGGAATACCGTTCGAATCCGCGATATACCGAACCTTCTTTCACAATAGGCAGACACGATTTCATATAACTGGAATATCGTTCAAATCCGCGATATACCGAACTCCTTTCACAATAGGCAATCACGATTTCATATAACTGGAATATCGTTCAAATCCGCGATATACCGAACTTCTTTCACAATAGGCAGACACGATTTCATATAACTGGAATATCGTTCAAAGCCGCAATATACCGATCATCTTTAACAACAGACAGACATATGACTTAAATACAGGTTAAAGTGTTGATAAGGCTAGAATCGTTTAGAATGTTTTGGAAAATACGCACACACGAACGCTGACGTGTACGTTCCGTCATATTGGATTGTGTTTACAAAATGCCGGTTATGAGACGCCTATTCGATCAGGTATATTTCAAACTCACCTGCTATACATGCATCCCTAAATTCCTCATACATTTCAGAAACAAATGAAAAATGGTCTTTGTCACCAATGCAAATTATCTAGATGAAATCATGCGAAATAGATTAGGTATGGAAACGAAAACTGTGCTCGGAAAACTGTACTTGCTGAAATGTAAACAAAGCAAAATTCAGATTTTACACTGTGTAAAAGGCACTTTCGTCTAATTGTTGCATACATTGGCTCGACACGCGTTTGAGAATATTAATGGGAAGAGTACCGTTGCTAATAATGGAATGCCACATAGATGCATTACAATGATGTGGTAAATTCAACAGAAGCCGTCAAAGTTTCTGTCCTGTGTGACGCCATGACTGACGCTCAATCACGCACGACGACGGTAGTTATCTGCATTTCTGACTAATTCTCTTGGTTACATAGGAAACAAATAACAGTTCACAGATTGTCAGAATGTCTCCTTATTACTTACGTGACACATTTATGTATCTACGTTCCCTCAATCAACGAAAAGCCACCTCTGGAAATCGCGCGTACTGCTGTCAGTGAACACGCCATTTTGTAAAAGTTGGTCACTCGTAGTGCCGTCATACAGAAGTAACATTTTTGTACATATTTGGTAATTTCTTTGAGGCGTAAACTTTTAACTCGGCACCCAGCGTGTTCTTTGTTTTTTGTCTAGTTTGCATTATCATCATCGCCTTGATAATCCACATATATGGCGGAAACCTTTTTGTGTAGAGTCACATTATCTATGAGTAGTAAGCAGTACATAGAATGACGTCACTTATGACAGTGGTGTTATGTATTAATGCGCAACTGCAATCATGAGAATAGACAAAATGCCTCGGTTCGATGCTAAAAAGGTGCGATTTTAGGGTGTGTAAGAAACAGATTACTGCACTCGTGCCTGTCAGATACCATTGATCTTACAACTCCTTGTTACAAAGCGTATCTAACTCGCTCGTTAGATACGTTTTGAAACAACTCGTTGTAAGATCAATGGTATCTGACAGATACTCGTGTAGTAATCTCTATATATGAAATACCGACGTATAATACCCAGCACAGACTGACACAATGATAACCTGTATAATGTGTTACTGCATGATGTGTCCCATGATGGTGGTGACAGGGGACCACCTGGGCTTTAACATCTCCTTGTATAAACCAGAACATTGTATTAACCAGAACATGCATAAACACTTAATAAAGCTTAACCTTGCATACATGTAAGAAACTCATATTTTATTGGCGAGATGAATAGCTAGTGAAGCAACAGGCAAAACATACACATACAAATGGTGTTTATGCTTATAAATGTGTTTAAAGCGGTCTTGACATTAAAGCTAAAAATAACAGGTTCATTGTTGAAGCAATATGATATGGTGAAAGTCATTTCTATTAACATGTCATTAACACATCACTTCATACACGCAGATCCAACAACAGTATTAGGGGTGCGGGGCTTTGGCGCATACTTAGCATTCCTTGGGCACGGGTGGCCCAGTCGTCTGAGGCGCCGCGATTCGCTGTGCAGAGTTGCGTCCCTTGGGCACGCCAGAAACCTATGATTGTGGGTTCGAATCCCGTTTCGCCCCGATTCTGTTTCTTGGTTTGTTGGCACCATACCCATGCACATGGGTTTCACCAAATTGGTAAACGTCCGAGACCTGCATCACTTCGGCCTTTCCTCCCACATTAAGCTGACACGCCGCGATATAACTGGAGACTGTTAAAAGCGGCGTTAAACCAAACTCACCCACTCACTCTTGAAACGTTATCGTGCCAGCAAAACAACCTCGCGCTCCAATGTCTATTTGCGTTGCGGTTCATGGCACGAGTCAAAAACAAATTCAAATCTCTAAAAGAAAGAAGATATTGATTCAAATTGAAAACCTTTAATAAAATAAATGCCGGTATTGCACCTTATAGGCGGCGATCCACGGTGATCTAAGCGATCTGAAGGAGCGCCATAGATCGCCATATAATGAGGCGATATAGGGGTACTTGTGATCCGATTGCGATCAGATAGCGATCCATTAGCGATCCAATAGCGACAGCGACAGCGACTTGATGGCGCTTGATCGCCACCCAACCACCCCAAAATGTGGCGATCTTGCACGATCAGTTCCCGCTCCATTCGCGATCCGATGTGATCAGGTTGCGCTCCAATGGCGCTTTATTGGCGATCCGATGGCAATCATTGTGATCTATGGCGCTCTTCTCTGATCCGATAGCGACCGAGTGCGATATATGAAGATCCTCTAGAGCTCAAGTAGCGCTCTAGGCGATCCGATTGCGACCTGATCGACGCAAAGGGGCCCGATCCCATAAAAACCTGTGGCGTTCAGCCGCGTTCTTCAGTTCTGTGCTTTGCAGCAGACGGGTATCACCATGAACCATAGAGATGCTGCCATATGACAAGTGATTTACAATCTCGTGCACCATGCCATCGTTAACCAGCAGATTGCCATTCTGGCCCAGCAGCCTCGAAGAAGAAGGAGAAGGAAGGCTTTTGGGGTGAGACCCTGGAGACCCACAGGGTGGCGCTCTAAATCGTGAACCAAACAGTGGAGCACAATCAGAGCGCCATCGGAGCGCAATCGGAGCGCCAATGCATCTCCGAGGAGCGCCATCAGATCGCCATGGAGCGCCGAAGATCGGTAGGCCAGCTTTTGTGGCGATCGGCGGCGCTCTATGGTGATCCGATAGCGCTCCGATTGCGACCTTGGCGATAAAGTTGCGCTCCGATGGCGATCTAGGCGATCAGTTAGCGATCTGATGGCGCTCTGGGCAGAGCGCCACGGATCTTTGGGCAGGGGAGTCAACCGGCGGCGACCTTGGCGATCATGGAGATCAGTTAGCGATCTGTTAGCGATCCGTTAGCGCTTTTGGCGATCTTGGCGCTTTATATGGCGCTCTATGGCGCCCCCTACGGAGCGCCGTGGATCGCCGCCTAGTGGAATGGGGGTATTAATATCAGTTCAAGATTTATAAACAATCAAATGAAGGTCCCAAAGGTATGCAAACTCGTGTCTTCGAACTACGATTAAACTGTGGGACGCTCTTCCAGTGGACAATATTAACGCCTGCTCATTAAGAGATTTTAACACTTTAATCAGCACTTCAAATAGAAATATGAGCTTTGGTGTGGATTCTGTCAAATTTTGCATTGTCACCCCAGGCTCGGCTGCAGCGAATGAAAGGCTCATCAGTTCAATCGACAGTTCAGACAGCAAATGTGGTTATCGTGCTTTACAGCTTCTATTTACATGCAGAAACTCTGCAAATATTAGAAACAATAAGGATTTATTTTTACACCCATGGATATAACCTGAAAACGGTTTTATACAACTCTCCATGTAGTGACTCAGTCATCATGGAAATTGTTAAATCAGTCGACCGTTTCTATTGTTAAAAGCAACATATTCGAATAACTGTAATAATATAAATCAATTTTTGGGGCTGCTTGTACTAGTCCGGAGTGATGCATTTTTGTACAGTGCTAGCCCACTAAGATACCATGCCGCAGTTTAACATGAATACCCCACTCAGACACAGTATGGTGACCCTGAGCCTACCAGTCCTTGTTTTACCCCCTCAATGCCGAGCGCCAGGCAGGGTAAAACGCGGTCGGGGATCGAACCAGGGACCTTTCGCTCTCCGGGCGGACGCTCTACCACTAGGCCACGGAGGCGGACACAAATTCATTGAGATACTGAAGGTTGTGCAGTTTGACTGAATGTAAATTTCACACTTTCAACATATTATATGCAACGTTGTACCATCTTTTAACGTGTTTTGGTCTGCCGCGGCCTGGGGTCGCACACAGATGTGTTGGTCAGTTACTTATAAAAAAGTGCTTATTAGTACTTATTATATACATCAGAGTGAAAAAATGAGTTTTCTGAGAAAGTGATATTTCCACTGCAGTGAACATAACACTTGATATTCACTGCACTGAACATAACACTTTGACGGAACTATTGCCATTTATCTCCCTTTATCGTAAGTGTCTCGCCCTTACACTGTTGACTTCCTTCTCATGAAGTATCATGTTTCTCTCGTCTCGTGAAAATATCTCCTTCCTCCCGCCAATCGATCGAATATGATAAACTGACGTCCAAAAGAAACTTTACCAACTGAAAATATAAATTTCAGATAAAGTATAAAAAAAATCGATGAAGTCTATCTAAATACAACAATAGTGTATGCAGGAAATGTTAATCGTCTGTTACATGTTTGCGAGATAACACGCGAAAAAGTGAAAAACACGTGCACCACGGACAACTGCAAATGCACGTGCGGGTAAGGGTATAAAACGATTGCAACGGCAAGTCAGACATCCACAGTGATAAAAAAACACAAAAGAAATGCCACGACTCACAGTCGAACAACGTGAACGAGCCTTTGGTATGGTACAGACGGGAGCCACCCACGCCCATATTGCACGAACCTTCGGTTGCTCCTGTGTTGCCGTTACCAACTTGATGCAACGTTACAGACAGACAGGGCGTACCGCTGACAGGCCAAGAACAGGCAGACCCCATGATGACCGGTCCTTGCGTACCTTGCACCTCCGAAATCGCTTCCTGACAGTGACATCATCGGCGACAAATGCCTTAGGTCACAGGGTTATTCGACAGACAGTGGCCAGGAGACTCAGGGCTCATGGAATCAGGGCTTTAAGACCATACAGAGGACAGCTATTGACAGCGCAACATCGTCGTCTGCGATTGAGATGGGCCCGGACTGTATGACGTTGGCAACGACGTGACTGGCAAAGGGTTGTCTTCACTGACGAAAGTCGATTCTGTATGTTTAGGGCTGATGGAAGACAACGTGTTTACTGCCGAAGGGGTGAACGAACGGCGGCGTGTGTGTGCAGGAGGTCGTACCATATGGTGGAGGGAATGTCATGGTGTGGGGAGGGATCTGTGGGCAGGAGAAGACACCGCTGGTCATCGTTGGCGGAAACTTGACAGCTCAGCGTTACATGGATAACATTATTCGTCCAGTTGTCCTACCATTTCTCCAACAGCAGCCACGTGGTGTCATTTATCAGCATGACAACGCTAGAGCCAATACAGCCAGAATTGTCACTAACTTCCTCGCAGCCAACAACGTCAACGCCCTGCCGTGGCCTGCACGCTCACCCGACATGTCCCCCATAGAACACCTCTGGGACTTGATGGATCGTCGGCAAGAACTGATATTGGACCTCCAAGAAGAATGGCGTCAAATCCCATGTGACCTCATCAGACGACTGACTTTTTCTGTGCGTCGAAGAGTTTTTGCGTGTATGGAGGCATTTGGTGGTCATACACGCTACTAATGACTTGTTATTGAACGTGAGCGATTGTTTATGTACTCTGCCTATTGTCCATGATTCTGAAAGCTCGAGTTTTGTACCACACCCAACTTTGGGGGCCTCTGACGTCATTCTCGGTCGCGGTATGGTTGTCATTTTCAGTGTTGATTATGTTGATATATTGATCTTCTCAATACACTTTACTTCATGCATGTATGTTTTGTTGTTTTTGAGCAAGAGTGATTTCAAACTCTGGTAAAGTTTCTTTTGGACGCCAGTTTATATACAAATAACATAAGAACACAAGTAACCCAGCACTCAATAAAGTACCATCGGCCATACAAGTACAGCTGACAATCATCAAGTTATTCCCCTTACCCACATTTGGACTAAGCGGTTTCCACAGAGACAAGTATCAAATCGAAGCACAATGTGCTAATTTATAGAGAATATCTCGTGTAAAGATTTTACTGGAAGCGATATCATTCCGCCATTGCCGTTTCAGTAGAAACAATACTATTGCCTCACTTCAACAGGAGAGAAAATATGTTTACTTGCACAACGTTGCGACGTTTCGTTAAAAACGTTAACTTGGTTGCAGTTAATTTGCAAGCAGTGACGGGTGTCTAATTCTCATACAGACTTCTGTGACTGCTTTTTATTTCACTTGGGCGGATAACCATAGTCCTACCGACTCCAGCTACCCCATGTTCCATCACGACCACCAATAGTCTATTCGAGGCTAGCATACGGGTGTGCAGCGTATGGATCTTTACTATCTTGAATAGGAGGCTTTATAAGGGTGCCACGCGTGTCAAGTATGCGATAGAAATTTCAAGGCTTGCATGAGTGTTTCCACACAAGTTGGTTGGATGATGCTTATCATTCTGACACTGATGCAGCGGAGAAGAATAAACCCTTTACACACTTCCTGGTTCTACGCTCAGATATATGACTGCCGGGGTCAAGGTTATTGGTGGAATAATTTCATGCAAAATAATGTTTTCAAAATCTATGAAGAGTGAAGAGCTGAAAGAGGCGTCTGTAGTCACGGATCGTCAGTGAGCTAACGGGTGATATTTCTTAAGAATAAGCTGGCGAATTTTGCTTGTTTATATCTCTTTAGACCGAAAAAAGATTTAGGCCACGATCACTAATTGTCTACTGTTTTTCTATTGTCGGTTAATAAAATGGGCGGGGCTTGTGTTGCATTATTGCTCTGAACCATGTCATTGATTTCGTACTGTTCTCTACAGTGTCTTTGTGGTAATGAGCAGTCTAGGAAGTTAATATTGCTGATGTACTTATTGATAGAATTGACTTCAATATGTGTTTGCGTTTACGGAGGTATTTGTAACATAAAAGTCGGTGTGGACTTAGCGGTGTGAAAATAAAAGCGGCAAAACCCCTTCCATATTCAGAAAAACATATCTACTAAAAGGAGCGAAACGCAGCACACAGTGTGTTGAAGTAACTTCTTAAACAAAAATATATACAGAGCAGTTTAAGAGTGAGAATGCTGTTTAAGCCGCTGTCTAGGTATACTGAATATTTGCACCTATTTCACAGATGTCTTTATCTGATAATAGGCCAGGTTAACTAACGATTGGCAGCCTGAGCAATGATCCATGTCGTGAAGCTATTGATTGATCTTGTAGGAGTTGCATTGATATGACAAGGGTGTCTTCACTAACCTGTGTCCCAGGGTCCATCATATACATATGGCGTGTAAAGTAAATGAATTAAGCAGCAATCCTACACTGCCTCTAGGGAGATATGTGGGTGTTTATATACTGGTATGCAGTCTTTTCTCGTGAAAATACCTTCGTGCAATTGTACCCTGTTTCATGTTTTTTTCCTTAACATTCTAATCAACCATGTGACCTTGAAATGTCGGCGGAAATACAGATATTCTGTCTAATTTCAGCATGCAACCCGCTACACGTCCAAGGACATCGACCTTGACCCCAGCATGCAGGGGTCATACAGTGAGGCCACGTCAGAAGCACCATCACGCTCTACACCTCGCACTGTCTACATTGTAATCTGCATCTTGGTCATCCTTGTTGTCGCTGGCGTCGTCGTTGCCATCGTCACCGCTGTCCTCTTGACCAATGGTAACTCCAGCTTATTGTTGTCTATATTCCTATATAATACCTGCCACTATCTTTAGCCCGGGTTCACATTTTGCTTCGAGGTCATATTTGAAGCCCGGTTCATAATACATGTACATTTATTTCAGGAGATTCTACATACTTTTGAAAGAAATAGCTGTGTTGAATGAAAACAAAAGGACTTATCAATAAAACAAAAACTGACAAAAAAGGAGCCATGTTACGACGTAAATTGTAATAAAAAGGTAAATTGTAATACTTGCAGCAAATTGTAATAATTTTGACGTAAATTGTAATAACAACGTAAATTGTAATCAAACTTGACGTAAATTGTAATACGCAAATTGTAATAAAAATTGACGTAAATTGTAATAATCTCAACTTGCGGTAAATTGTAATAACCTTATAAGTTTAGTGTCAAAGGCGTTAAATGACTAGAACCTAAACTTGTCAGGGTTGGTACAGGGTTTATCCTACAATCGTCATTAAAGTATGGGCGTGGGGGAGGATTGAGGTCGTTATCGTACATTGTTGTATAATTATATGTATATATAAACGTTATGGTTGTCCAGAAGAGGATTAATTATTACAATGAACTTAGTTTTCTTATTTATTTGAGAAATACTCTGAGTGTTTTTTACTTAATTGTAATATATCCTATTGACGATGTTCACCATAATTGTTCATATTTAACCTAATGGAATCATATTTCACTTGGTAAAGTAGGTAGTAATATACACAATGGAATATTTATAACATAACAAACTTACACAAATATATTGATTTGTAAATGTGGAAAGTCTGACTTTTACTGACTGAAGCAAATTTATTTATTTTGCAACTGTATATTTGTACATATTTTATGCGGAGAGGGGTTTACTAAGTTGCAAGAACTTGTCCCCAATACAATTCTCATTTTGTTCTGTGAATGAAATATGTTTAAACTAAACTAAAATAGCAAATGGATGACATGTCATTCTGCAGTAGTCTGTGTGCAAGCTGAATTATACATGTTCATATACATATTATCAATTTATTATTATTATTCAAGTTTCAATTTTTTTAACGTTGCTCGGAGGATGTAAAGCAAATAATGACAATGTCCTGGGCGATGTACATGTAGGTATGTGAACCCGCAAGGACTACCTTTATCAATTATTTTCCGTGCAGCTTGTGTCCTGTCTGTATTGTTAGAATGACACTCTAGCAACTGAAAGATCCATCCTCGGGTTAAAAATGATGTATTAAATTAGGTACGTCTATTCGACAAATAGCTTAATTGATTTATCATCCAATAGTAGCTTAGCTAGGAGTCCATTGCAATAACATTAAGTTACGAGTTACCAAAGAGAGCTCTGTGCAACCGGACCCTGAAATTATGTCTATTTGCATTGGAGGTTTACTTAATTTGATAAGGAGCGCATGACCGTTTCCTTGAAACAAACGAGACAATTCAATCGTATTTATACATTATATTTTGACGCAGAATTCAAATACAACAAATGAGTGACAGATCTCCTGTGCAATGTCAAAGGAAAAAAACCAGTCATCAGCAAATGCAGTATAGATTTCCCATGCATGGGAAAGGAGAATACTTAATACATAGAGGTTATCACGCGAGTGTGTTTGGGGATGGTAAATATCCTGCATTAGGAATAAACATTGTATTTAGCGAGCCTTGGCGAGCTAAATACATAGTGTTTATTCCTAATACAGGATATTTACCATCCCCAAACACACAAGCGTGATAACCTCTTTATCATATAATGTCATTCTTTAATTCTGTGCTTCAAAATCGCTTTCCCTCTCTCACATACATAACCGAAACATTGCGAGTTTTTTCTGGAATGCGCGCATTAATATTTATTACGTCACAGGGTAAGTGATGTGTCAGTCGGACAGTGACATTACCCAATATAGTTCCAACTGAAATCTGTTTCTTATACAGTGGCGAAGCAACATATACGCAAAACAACAATTGTTTTTAATTGCCTTTCGCGGCAATCCATCTGTCTGTCCGCTAGAGTAACTGACCTTTGTCAAAGGGAAGCTACTCTAACCCTAGTCTATGAGACGTCACGGCCACGGTCAGTCGTTGTTGACAGTCGGTCTGTCCTGTCATAACGTTAAGAAGTATAGTCAGATGTACACACAGCGACAAAACGAAACAAGGTAACAATTCAAACATATTTCGGCCCAATCCAACTATTTTAATTTGTGGAGAAGGTTTCAAGCCGCAGAGGTCTACAAGCACAGATATGGCTACTGATCCCGCTTGGCTAGGCCTCGTGCCCTCGAAAAATTGTTTCGAAATTTATATCTCTAAAGTTGCCCAAACTTATAAAATGCCTTAGCTACGTCACAGTTAGAGACTGAATTTCAGTATATTAGACTGTTCTTTTGATAATGATAGCAATTATCCCTGTAGTTTATCCAGATTCCCATTGGTTAATTCTGACTCGATCCCCGAATGATGAGGGCGACGCCATGTTTGTTTATAAACAGTGAAAGTAGTCCCTACTTGACCTTTGATATTTGCATCTCTATCCGCATATGACCCCAACGGATATCGTTTTTATCCGTTGGCTTTATCCTGCCGAGAAACCTACCCATTATATGATAAATAGCATTATATACAATATTTGTATTAATATCAAAAGAGGGGCGTGGATATTCTTTACCTACATTGCATATACTATTAGATATTGTGTATTCTCGATCTCTGTGAACTTCTCACAGATAAAGAAATAATAATCAATAAATGCAAACCATGTTAACAGACAATATTTTTAGCAATGTATGATTCACATATGGATAATTAATATAACATGAAATATTTCCTTTCATAGGAAGAAGTATATTTATGAAATAAATGAATAAATGTAACTGTCTGGATTCCTTTTATATGTCATGAAGAACTAACAACAACTTACTGACAACTTTTGCTGGGATAATAACTCCTTGCCCCAACAACAAAAACAGAATCCATCATGATAACGGCACGAAAGCATAATTCAAAGCATACACAAATAATATCCAGTATCTTCGGGCGTGTCTTGTTGAGTTTCAAAGAGCATCAGAATGTATAATAAATTTGTATACAAGCAGATATATTTCAGCAATTGGTTGCAAGAAATTTATGATAATTCGTATACTCTTTGAAACTGTACAAGAGTTATCCGAAGATACCGGATGTTATTTGTGTATGCACGGGATCTGTCAACTCATTTGTTGTATTTGAATTCTTTGTCAAAATAAAATGAATTGTATAACTATGATTAAATTCCCTCGTTTGTTTCAAGAAAAGGATCATATACTCCTTATCAACTCGTATAGAGTTTCCACTGCAAATCGACACACTGGTTGACCAGCCTGTGTTTGTACCCTTCGTCATCACTCGTTCAATCGTGTGGAACTGGTCAACGTACTGTTGAAGCAAGTCATGCAAAAAACATCTTGAATAGCCTTATAAGAGTATTGAACAATATGTCACAATTAAGTTATTGTGAAACCCATCATTTTGAACCCGAGGATGGATCTTTCAGTCGTTTAAATTTATCGATGTTGACACCACCCTTTAATGACGAATGTACGATAAAGTCCAACCAACCATCCGATATACCAACCATCCCTAACTTAACAGATTTGTACGTTTGTCATCATGTGAAACGCAAGCTCAACCGACAAAGATCATTTCTAGTCAGTTGGCGTCTTGGACACTACGGTAGTAAGGTTATTACAATTTACGTAAGATTTTTTTACATTTTACTGCAAGTTGAGATTATTACAATTAACGTCAATTTTTATTACAATTTGCGTATTACAATTTACGTCAAATATTATTACAATTTACGTTGTTATTACAATTTACGTCAAAATTATTACAATTTGCTGCAAGTATAACAATTTACCTTTTTATTACAATTTACGTCATAACAAGCCATTTACATAGATAATTCAATTAAATATCATATATATGTATATATTTATGCTTCTCAATGATATACCTAGATTTGTGGGATCGACACATATCACCCATCACCATACATGTAAGTTTTATAACAATAAGCGATTTACATTGATATCATGTGAATTGTTTCCTCATTATTTTGGCTATCCTACATTCTAGGTGATATTTTCGAACATACGCGACATATAGCACAACATTAAGAGTATTGAAGAAGAGGCAATTCCTATAAGTGATCAGTTTATTTATTCCAATGGCAGACAACGTACATGAACACAGACTACTTTGAGGATCATGTTAAATCTGGTAATTGAACCTATAGCAACATGGCAGTCCAACAAAATGATTGACTGATCAGAAAATTCTAAGTGAGAATCGTCCATTTTATTTGAAACTTTCAAACTAGTCTGATTGTTATCAAGGTGATAGATATTTTTAGGTCAACTTTCAGGACAGTGTTGTTTTTATTATATCTTTATATGGCGCAATTACCATCACATATAAATCTAAACATTTCAAACGTGTATGTCATTACATGAAAGATAGAAGAAGTTTTAACTGACTGGGTTCAAACATGAATCAAGAACTATGGATACACACAAATGCAGGCAAAACACATTCGATATCGTCACTCGTGTGGAAAACACCAATATTTCGGTAAATGTAACATGTCATTCCATTAGCAGTGTACAGGTTAAATACGTCAGAAGCTATATCTAGCATGATTGGTGAGGTCGTGGGTATCTCCTCTCTAGCGACAGGTGAATTGTAATGTAGTTTTAAAGGCGACGGTATGATAGTCACTAATACATAAAGTGCCCAAATAGCCTAGGAAATAAATCTTGTCTGACAACATGGAAGCTACGTACGTATGGAAATGCATATGGGTGGGATAGATCCCCATATCGGACAGACCCAAGGCTGTAGTTGAAAATTGATCCCTCAAGAAGATTTTGCTATTGCCAGCTCATACTGGAAATGTCTCACGCAACCTGCGATTCAGTGATACAGAGCACGACCAAGATCAATGCGACATGTACACGCGAATCTATTTGCAGAACCTCTTCAGATTGAAGTGTTTTAACGGGACCAGTTAGACTTGCGCAATCCAACAGCAGTGTTTGTGCAGCTTAAATGAAAAGCGTTAAGATATAAATACATGATATAGATGCATTAAAAACCTTACATATACATTCCGCGTCACGAACATCTAACTTTCGTCAAAAAACACATACCTGTGATAAATGTAACACTGCTATATTAACATAATATATCAATCTACACATATATGAAAATTTATGTGAAAAGAATTTTAAATTATTCAAAGGTAATCTGTGTCGATCAAATGAGAATAACAACAGGGCAATGTCACAAACGTTCATGCTTCGTGAAAAGAATTTTACAGAATATATGAGTCTCTTCAAATCCCTGTCCCACGGCAACCATTGTGTTCAAGTGAACATGGCCACAAAGGACATACGTACATATCGATTAACATATCTCATGCTTTAGGGATGGCAGTTAAAACAGCATAAACACACAGCAGGGGTATTCACCACGAGTATGATACGTTACAGACAGCGGTGTGCATTGGGCCATCACGACATCACAGCTGTATTGTCCTGTAGGGAGGTGACATGCTACTTTGTGCCGCATAGCCAGACAATATATATCTCATGTACATGATTGTGTTAATGTTTTTTATATACGCTTCTGGCTATTGTATGTACAAGTGATGACACTGTCGCATTCAGGTTTAGGTTCGGAACTACCACCCATCCCACAGCCGCCTCGGAACACCACAAAGAGAGTGAAAATGGGGATGTTTAGTTATATGTGGAAATGTGCTGCATACATGTATGTGGAATTCTATAACTTTAAACTGAATAAAAGGGCGTTGAAATGCACACAATATTGAGCATTGATAGTGTCGCATTGTGACGTTGTTGTCCTTCTCCATTAGTGGCGTTGTAAGTGAATTATTCTACGCATGCGCAGACATGGTTATACTCCATATCAAATTCCAGTGGTTATTTTTAGTTCCTTGATACTGAAGCAAAAGTACGTATCCTCAGAAATTATTTCATGCATCTTTGTAGTCGGTGTCGTGTTTATAAAGTTAAGTGTTTTCACGGTGAAAAACAAACTCTTTGTACATTTGCTTTTTATTTACATCCGGGATAGAATAGGTCTTCAGCAACCCATGCTTGCTGTGAAGGGCAACTATGCTTGTCGTAAAAGGCGACTAACGGTATCAGATGGTCAGGCTAGCTGACTTGGTTGGTGCATGTCATCGTATCTCAAATGCGTAGATCGATGCTCATGGTGTCAATCACTGGATTGTCTGGCCCAGGCTCGATCATTTACAGACCGCCGTTTTATAGCTGGAAAGGGGGGTTAAACGACAAACAAACAAACAAATCATTTGTATCCAGTTTCCAACAATTTTTCAATTCGCCGAGGGGGCACGGTTCACCCAGCCGTCTTAGGGGGCGAAGTTCGCTGTGTATAGTTGCGTCTCTGGGGTGTGACAGAAACCTATCATCGCTGGTTCGAATCCCCGATTCGTCCTGAGAATGCTACTTGGTTTGTCAGCACCATTCTTGTGCTTGTGTGTTTCACCAAAGTAGTTAGGTCTCAGATCTGCCTTATTTCGGACTTTCCTCAAGCATTGACTTTGTAACAATGCGACATATGATGAAATGTCGCACTGCTTCGCTTTGTTAAAGTACTGTACGTGTGCAGTACCCAATATAAGCAGGACAATAAGACAATACTGGGGGAATGAAGGACAACATCAGCATCACTGTGCCGAAACGTCTAACATTACAAAGTTAAAACTCAACGTTGACCGGAGTTTCATGCCCAGCCATTGATGGGGAGGGGTGCTCCACCTCAATCTCCGGGCGTTTCTGGCGAACAGACTACAACTGACACGATCCTATATTACTATATGTATACAATAGAAATGAATAAGGGCGTAGCGGATATTTTAAGGAAAATCTATGTGTGTCACACTGGGACACTTTGTTAAAATACTGAAAAATGCAGAAATTAATAGAAGCACCATATGGACACAACGTCCCATTTTGATGTCGTTGTGGAGTTTTGTAAACATTTGAAAAATGGTGAAATTAATACAAGTACGACAACGTGACGACAGGCAATTAAAGTAGTTTCTCTTAAATAAGGTGCAAATATGATAGACAGGAGGTGACGTGGATTTATTCCGCATGAGCCTAGGGAATTCTCTTCTGGACTGAACAGTTTCTGGTTACTCTTCTCCAAAAAATATCAATGCAGTTTTCATTAGATTTAGTCTTTTACCTTCTTTGGGATGGGGCCAAGATTTGGGTCGAAATAAGTCAGGTTCCAGGACCCGCCATTCAAGAGTTTGCACAAGAAGCCAACATCATTGTCATCGTCACACCCATAGTTACCTTTACAGGCATGCCATATAATATGTACATGTATCTTATACATCCTACCACCCCAAGGTCATCTTCGGGGTAATTGCGAAACCTTTTTCTGTCAATTATTGCTTGTTACTGTGACTTACTTACAGACACCGGAACTCCTAGAGTACATTCTCATCACATGCTCACGCTGTTCCTCCTACCGTTGTGCCCCCTTCGTTCAAGATGTCAACTTGACACATAACAAATTGATAGTTTCTTAAACAACTTTGTCCAGTGATGGGAATAGAAACAACAAATAGCAGATATTGTTGGGTACAGGGTATTCATTGTTGTGAACAATTATGACATTTTAAAGACTATCCCCGATTTTCAGTTATTTTGAAAATTCTGAGCCAAACCGACTGGTATGTATTTTGTCCCTGTAGATTCATCAAATGGCAATGTCAGCATTAAAGCAATCACGAAACGCTCACGAAAGCAATCGCTATTGGAACTGTTTGTTATAATTTTCCAAGGTTTGGGGTGCATTTTTACCTTATAACAGTATGTTTAAATGCAAGTCTCATGGGTATATGCAACTTTGCATATATAGATCGTAACATGGATAATGGAAATTTCGTTATTAAAACATTGAAAGCGGCGCCTAAATAAGGTTTATTTGCATTTTAGTCGACGGATATATAATGGTGGAGGTAATTCTCATCCCAAACTACACGCTTGATCGCACAACAAGCCCTACCTGGCATCCATAACAAGTGCTGCTACCGTTCCAAAATAATCAATGAAGATGTTTCTTTGTGTTGCATCTTTTAATCTCACACGGAACAAAGGCCTAAGTGAGCAGTGATGTGATGACGTTTAGTTGTTTTCTCTGAATAAACTGGAATTATGAACAGGAAACGGAGATGCGACAATGCGACCATCGCTCATTTTTGATACGGCGACAATACGAGTATGGCTCATTTAATCGCCATTTTTGATGCGGCGGCAATGCGACAACGAGACACATTTTAACTTTGAAAAACGTCTCCCCTTTTTCACAAAACTCTACAATGCGGCAACAGGTTAAACTTTTTCGTTGTCGCACTTAGGTTAATTTTGACACATTTTGCTTGTCTTCATAAGGGCGACAACGTAACAGAGTCCCTTCCAGGACTTCATAGTTATGCAACAGCAACACATAGTTAGCATGCATAAATACCCATCCTCTAAACATCACATATAGTTAGTCTAGCACTTGTACATTCGTAATGGTTTGAGTTATATATTTCTTGTTTTGCTCCTGACAGCACTATCCAGCTATATCACGACTCCATGTTAATAATCTCGTCCATAGTATGGTCAAATCATTATGGAGAACGTATGGATACGATGACCCGCAATCAACCAACAAATCGCCTTTTACAAGAAGCAAAGGGTCTGCAAGGAGCGTATTCTAACCCGGTGTAAAGTCTAAAAGTATACCCCCTTCAAAGTATACCCGGGTAGATTCTGGGGCCTTTCAGAATCTACCCCGGGGTAGATTTTGGGAACGCCCAGATTATACCCCCTGGGGGTAGATTCTGGGAAAGGGGGGTAGATTCTGGGAAGTCCCCAAAATCTACCCCGGGGTAGATTCTGGGAGCTCCCAGAATTTACCCGGGTATACTCTGAAGGGGGGTAGATTTTGGCACCTTACACCGGGACACTGGTACATGTCATGAAAAGGTGCACGTTGGAAGCTTTCTCTAGAATACTTCTTAAGAAATTATTTGGTCAATATTTCAGGTGCCAAGTATCAGTACAGTAAGTAAACATTTCATGATAATAGTTTATATCATCGTTCTATCATAACCTTCATTGAACTTGTCAATAATATGCCTGGTCTATCATAACATTCATTGAACTTGTCAATAATATGCCTCGTCTATCATAACGCTCTATCCTGTGTATATGGTAATAACATGCCTGGTCCGTCATAACGCTCTATCCCGTGTATATGTCAATAAATGCCCGGTCTATCATAACGCTCCATCCTGTGTATATGGTAATAACATGTCTGGTCCGTCATAACGCTCTATCCCGTGTATATGTCAATAAATGCCCGGTCTATCATAACGCTCTATTCTGTGTATATATTAATAAAATGCCCGGTCTATCATAACGCTCTATTCTGTGTATATATTAATAAAATGCCCGGTCTATCATAACGCTCTATCCCGTGTATATGTTAATAAAATGCCTGGTCTATCATAACGTTCACTGTACATGGAAATGATATACTATAGTTCACTATACAGTGTACATGTGAAGAAAAATGCCTGGTCTGCCATAACGTTCTGTGCACACATAAATAATATACCAGGTCTATCTCGACGATCAGTCCACATGTAAATACCTGGTCATTACAAACACGTGACTGTAAGGACAGAAGGTTCTCGGGACTGTATATTCAGATGCATAACATGCAGTGGTGATACATGTACATTTCTTCTATGATTGCAGCAAGAGCGGAGGTCAAGCTTCGCGTATTGAATGTCAACTATACCGAGGCACTGTCGGATAAAACGTCTCCCGAATTTACAGCACTTCAAAATAGTTTCTGTTCAAATGTAAGTGGTATATAAGACAATTCAATAACTGTAATTGCTTTGAAAACAGAATAACACTAAGTGCAAATGTAATGATTTTGTAATACTGTCTGAACAAAATGTTTCTTTTCTCCAATGTACAGTTTAACATTCAATATTCTGACAAGCGTTTTATCATAAACGAGACACCGTGACGGTATGCCGTAACGGTAAAACAGAGCCTGTGTACGTTTAGAAGTGATGGACTTGACATGTCTTGTGAGAATGTAGTTGAGTAGTATCCATGTTGCTGACAAAGGTATGCGTGTAGCTGACATGAGAATGAATGTGGCTGACAGGAGTATGGATCTAGCAGACAGAAGTATGCGTGCAGCTAACTGACGTGTAAGTGTAGCTAACAGGAGTATGCATGTAGCTGACAGAAGTATGCGTGCAGCTAACTGACGTGTAAGTGTAGCTAACAGGAGTATGCATGTAGCTGACAGGAGAATGAATGTGGCTGACAGGAGTATGGATGTAGCTGACAGAAGTCTGCATGAAGCCCAAAGAAGTATGTGTGTAGCTGACAGGAGTATGCATGTAGCTAACAGGCGTGTAAGTGTAGCTATCAGGAATATGCATGTAGCTGACAGAACTATGCGTGTTGCTGACAGGAGTATGCGTGTAGGTGACAGAAGTATGCATGTAGCTGACAGGAGCATGTGTGTAAGTGACAGGAGCATGTGTGTAGCTGACAGAAGTATGCATGTTGCTGACAGAAGTATGCATGTAGCTGACAGAAGTCTGCATGTAGCTGACAGGAGTATGAATGCAACTGACAGGCGAATGCGTGTAGGTGACAGGAGTAGGCATTTAGCTGACAGGACTAGGCGTGTACCTGACAGGAGTAGGCGTGTAGGTGACAGGAGTAGGCATTTAGTTGACAGGAGTAGGCGTGTAGCTGACAGGAGTAGGCGTGTAGGTGACAGGAGTAGGCATTTAGCTGACAGGAGTAGGCGTGTAGGTGACAGGAGTAGGCATTTAGCTGACAGGTGTAGGCGTGTAGCTGACAGGAGTAGGCGTGTAGGTGACAGGAGTAAGCGTGTAGCTGAGAGGATTATGCATGTAGTAAAGAAGAGTAGGCGTGTAGCTGACAGCAGTAGGCGTGCGTGTAGCTGACAGAAGTATGCATGTAGCTGACAGAGAAGTATTCGTGTAGCTGACAGAAGTATGCATGTAACTGACAGGAGTATGCATGTGACTGGCAGGAGTATGCATGAAGCTGTCAGGGGTATGCATGTACCTGACAGGATTATGCGTGTCATGAATAATGTAGAGCATACAAAACTATGCATGTCGCTGACAGGAGTATACATGCAGCTGACAGGAGTATGCATGTAGCTGACAGGAGTATGCATGTAGCTGACAGGAGTATGCATGTAGCTGACAGGAGTATGCGTGTAGCTGACAGAAGTATGAATGTAACTGATAGGAGTATGCAAGTAGCTGACAGGAGTATGCAAGTAGCCGACATGAGTATGCAAGTAACTGACAGGAGTATGCGTGTAGCTGACAGGAGTATGCAAGTAACTGACAGAAGTTTGCGTGTAGCTGACAGGAGTATGCAAGTAACTGACAGGAGTATGCATGTGGCTGACAGGAGTATACATGCAGCTGACAGGAGTATGCATGTTGCTGACAGGAGTATGCAAGTAGCTGACAGGAGTATGCATGTTGCTGACGGGAGTATGCGTGTAGCTGACAGAAGTATGCGGGTAGCTGACAGAAGTATGCGGGTAGCTGATAGAAGTATTTGTGTATCTTGAGTTCAGGTTTTTATTTGTTCTATAGATGGGCAACGTTGTGGATAAAGACGAAACTACAACCGGGTACCAGGGATGTACAGTTAAAAGTGCCAGGTATGTGCTTGGTTGAATCTATTGGTAACCTAAGTTTTACAGAAAGAACATCAAAACGGAGGGAGCAGTAGTAGTAATAGTAGTAGTAGTAGTGGTAGTAGTAGTAGTAGTAGTTGTAGCAGGGGGAAAAGTAACAGTAGTAATAGCAGTAGTAGTAGTAGCAGGGTGATTAGTAGAAGGGGGAGAAGTACTAGTAGTAGTAGTAGTAGTAGTAGTAGTAGTAGTTGCAGTAGTAGTAGTAGTAGTAGTAGTAGCAACAGCAGCAGCAGTAGTAGAAGAAGTAGTAGCAGGGGTAGTAGTAGCATGGGTAGTAGTAGTAGCAGGGGAGAAGTAGAATAGAAGTAGTAGTAGAAGTAGTAGTAGAAGAAGTAGTAGTAGTAGTAGTAGCAGCAGGGGTAGTAGTATTAGCAGGGGAGTAGGTAGTAGCAGTAGTAGTAGTAGTAGTAGTAGTAGTTGCAGTAGTAGTAGCAATAGTAGTAGTAGTAGTAGCAGCAGCTTCAGTAGTAGTAATATTAGTTGTAGTAGTAGTTGTAGTAGTAGCAGCAGGGTTAGCAGTGGTAGAAGGGGAGCTGTACTAGTAGTAGTTGGGAGAAGTATAATTAGTAAAAGTAGTTTTGGTAGTAGTAGAAATAGTAGTAGTAGTAGTAGTAGTAGTAGTAGTAGTAGTAGTAGTAGTAGTAGTAGTAGTAGTTATTGTAGTAGGAGGGTTAGTGGTAGTAGTTTTAGTAGTAATAGTAGTAGTAGCACGGGGAGAAGTAGTAATAGTAGTAGTTGTTTTAGTAGTAGCAGCAGGGTTAGTAGTAATAGCAGGGGAGTAGTAGTAGTTGTAGGAGTAGTAGTTGTAGTAGTAGTTGTAGTAGTAGTAGGGTTAGTAGTATTAGCAGGGGAGTAGTAGTAGTTGTAGGAGTAGTAGTTTTAGTAGTAGTTGTAGTAGTAGCAGGGTTAGTAGTGTTAGAAGGGGAGCTGTACTAGTAGTAGTGGGGAGAAGTATAATCAGTAATAGTAGTTTTAGTAGTGGTAGTAGTAGTTGTTGTTGTTTTGGTTGTTGTTGTAGTAGCAGGGGGGTAAGTAGTAGTAGTTTTAATATATGTAGTAGTAGTAGCAAGAGTAGTAGTAGTAGTAGTTGCAGTAGTAGTAGTAGTAGTAGTTGTAGCAGGGGGGAAAGTAACAGTAGTAATAGCAGTAGTAGTAGTAGCAGGGTTATTGGTAGAAGGGGGAGAAGTACTAGTAGTAGTAGTAGTTGCAGTAGTAGTAGTAGTAGTAGTAGCAACAGCAGCAGCAGTAGTAGTAGTAGAAGTAGTAGTATCTGGGGTAGTAGTAGTAGCAGAGGAGAAGTAGAATAGAAGAAGAAGTAGAAGTAGTAGTAGAAGTAGTAGTAGTAGAAGTAGTAGAAGTAGTAGTAGTAGTAGTAGTAGTAGTAGCAGCAGGGGTAGTAGTATTAGCAGGGGAGTAGGTAGTAGTAGTAGTAGTAGTAGTAGTTGCAGTAGTAGTAGCAATAGTAGTAGTAGTAGTAGTAGTAGTAGTAGCAGCTGCAGTAGTAGTATTAGTAGTTGTATTAGTAGTTGTAGTAGTAGCAGCAGGGTTAGTAGTGTTAGAAGGGGAGCTGTACTAGTAGTAGTTGGGAGAAGTATAATTAGTAATAGTAGTTTTGGTAGTAGTAGTAGAAATAGTAGTAGTAGTAGTAGTAGTAGTAGTAGTAGTAGTTACAGTAGTAGCAGGGTTAGTGGTAGTAGTTTTAGTAGTAATAGTAGTAGTAGCACGGGGAGAAGTAGTAATAGTAGTAGTTGTTTTAGTAGTAGCAGCAGGGTTAGTAGTATTAGCAGGGGAGTAGTAGTAGTTGTAGGAGTAGTAGTTGTAGTAGTAGTTGTAGTAGTAGCAGGGTTAGTAGTGTTAGCAGGGGAGTAGTAGTAGTTGTAGTGGGGAGAAGTATAATCAGTAATAGTAGTTTTAGTAGTAGTAGTAGTAGTAGTTGTTGTTGTTTTTGTTGTTGTAGTAGTAGCAGGGTGGTTAGTAGTAGTAGTAGTTTTAATAGTAGTAGTAGTAGTAGCAAGAGTAGTAGTAGTAGTAGTAGTAGTAGTAGTAGTAGTAGTAGTAGTAGTAGTTGCAGAGGAGGAGAAGTAGTAGTAGTAGAAGTGGGAGGAAAAGTTGTTGATTACGTTTATTGGAACGATTTGTGTAAACCTGGCCTTAGAGACGTCTAAACTAATATGCAATGTTGGTTAGTAGAAAACTCGATTAATTAAAAAAGTATATACCCTTTTCATTCTTCAGTAAAGGTTTATTATGAGAACCAGATGATGGCAATTAACACCTATTCAAACTTCATTTGACCATATTGACAATTCGGCTAATTTAAGTGATGAAGAAGAGAGACCAAGGATAAAAATGAAACTATAATGTGCCCAAACAAGATGATAAACAAACATATATACATTATAACTGTTATAAAATTGTGACACTCGTAGTTGCTTACATTTCATTGCATGATGTAATGTACCAGTATTGAGTCTGTTCTTGTCCATTTGGCATTACATGTGTCCGCTGCTAAGCACATATCCACAACGGTATATGACATGACAACGGTAAAGACCGGTACCATACCGAAACCAAACAGCATATTTTTACAAATATATTTCGTGCAAATGTTCTCTGGTAACAGGAAACATACAACACATGAATGTTTCGGCATTGTTTAAAATGCGTGCTGTTGTACATACTGCCTTCACACTGACTCAATTTGTATTGCAGAAACGGCTCTGTCGTCATTGTGGCTCTATTCTACTTCACTGCCCAAAACTCAGCTCCTGTGCAGGTTGCAGTGACAAACATCTTCAAACCCCCCTCATCCACATCCTCATCCTCAGCTACGAGAATATCTATTTACGTCATCGCTTCAGAGTCTGTGACAGTTGTTGTTGCCACTGTAGACGAGACGAGTCAGGAAAAACCTGCAGTAAAGCCCGGTAAGACAGGTTGATGACAAAGCGTTCCCCTGACATGAATGCATAGAGAAGAATGTTGACCCGAGCCTTGTGATTAACAAGTTTGATTTGTAAAAACTATTAATAATAATAATATATTCGGCTAAAGTCGAATTTGGTCTCCTGGGGTCTGAGGTGAAATGTAGTTTAACGTCGCTTTCAAGATCATTCCGCTTAAATAGCGTCGTGCATGCACGTCTGTGTATCTGCTACATTGTAACAGCCCAAACTTATGTCTGTTTTATAGTGCTCTCGCACTGTTATACCAAGCTGCAGTTTAACATGGTTATCCCTCTCAGACATGGTATACTAACTCCGAGCCGATCAGTTCTTACGCTGTACCCTTAATGCCGAGCGCCAGGCATTAGTACAAGTACAAATATTTAAAAGTATTTTGGAATGACGCAGCCAGCGGATCGAACCACCGATCCGGGCAGACGCTCTATGTACTTTACCACGGAGGCGGGTGACAGTGGACGAAAATTTGGGGCTGATCGTTGCATATGTAATAATAATTGTAAATCTTATGAAAGTGTAGATGATGTTTCGATAGACCTTAACTTCACTAATTTAGGATATCTTACGCTTACTAGTTTACACTTGGAGTATGACGTCTTAATTTAAATCTGAATTAAATATAGTTTTCATAATGAAATCAGCATTGTCGTCACGGTGAGTCAAAATTATAATAGCGGGGCTATAAGTCAACTTAACCTATCTTTATATTACTGTGTAAGCTACTGGACATTAATGCTTGGCAAATACTGTGATCCAGCAGGAACAGTACACTGTGGAATGTGCCAGGAGTGTACTGTTTACAGCAATTATCTTATCATCATCTGAACTATCATAACTGAAAATGAATTCAAAGGATATTAAGTTCAACTCAGTGTTCCGCAATTCTGCAAGTGATCCTATTTATACTAGTCTTATTTTATGTAAATCCAGTTAAGAAGACCATTTCAACATTTGGTCGAACTCACATTAAGCACTGTTCAATTACGTTATTTTCCAGTGGCCGAAAATACTCAAACTTCAAGCCCGGATGTAATTCTCCAAACATCAAGCCTTGGTGTAGGTGTCCATACATCAAGCCCGGATGTAGTTGTCCAATCATCAAGCCCGGATGTAGTTGTCCAAACATCAAGCCCGGATGTAGCTGTCCAAACATCAAGCCCGGATATAGTTGTCCAAACATCAAGTTCAGATGTAGTTGTCCAAACATCAAGCCCAGATGTAGAAATCAAAACATCAAGCCCGGATGTAGATGTCCAAACATCTAGTCCAGATGTAGTTCTCCAAACTTCAAACCAAGATCTAGTTCTCCAAACATCAAGTCCGGATCTAGGTGTCCAAGCAACAAGCTCGGATGTAGTTGTCCAAACATCAACTCCAGATGTAGTTGTCCAAACATCAAGCCCGGATATAGATGTCCAAACATCAAGCCCAGATGTAGTTGTCCAAACATCAAGCCCAGATGTAGAAATCCAAACATCAAGCCCGGATGTAGATGTCCAATCATTAAGCCCGGATGTAAATGTCCAAACATCAAGCCTGAATGTAGTTGTCCAACTATCAAGCCGGGATGTAGTTGTCCAAACATCAAGCCCGGATGTAGTTGTCCAAACATCAAGCCCAGATGTAGAAATCCAAACATCAAGCCCGGATATAGATGTCCAAACATTAAGCCCGGATGTAAATGTCCAAACATCAAGCCTGGATGTAGTTGTCCAAACATCAAGCACGGATGTAGTTGTCCAAATATCAAGCCCGGATGTAGTTGTCCAAACATCAAGCCCGGATGTAGTTGTCCAAACATCAAGCCCGGATGTAGTTGTCCAAACATCAAGCCCAGATGTAGATGTCCAAACATTAAGCCCGGATGTAAATGTCCAAACATCAAGCACGGATGTAGTTGTCCAAACATCAAGCACGGATGTAGTTGTCCAAACATCAAGCCCGGATGTAGTTGTCCAAACATCAATCCCGGATGTAGGTGTCCAAACATCAAGCCGGGATGTAGGTGTGCAAACATCAAGCCGGGATATAGTTCTCCAAACATCAAAACCGGATGTAGGTGTCCAAACATCAAGCCCGGATGTAGGTGTGCAAACATCAAGCCAGAATGTAGAAATCCAGACATCAAGCCCGGATGTAGCTGTCCAAACATTAAGCCCGGATGTAGTTGTCCAAACATCAAGCCTGGATGTAGTTGTCCAAACATCAAACCCGGATGGTGTTTTCCAAACATCAAGCCCGGATGTAGTTGTCCAAACATCAAGCCCGGATGTTGTTGTCCAAACATCAAGCCCGGATGTAGCTGTCCAAACATCAAGTCCGGATTTTGTCCTCCAAACATCAAGTCCGGATGTAGCTGTCCAAACATCAAGCCCGGATGTTGTTGTCCAAACATCAAGCCGGGATGTTGTTGTCCAAACATCAAGTCCGGATTTTGTCCTCCAAACATCAAGTCCGGATGTAGCTGTCCAAACATCAAGCCCGGATGTTGTTGTCCAAACATCAAGCCCGGATGTTGTTGTCCAAACATCAAGCCCGGATGAAGCTGTCCAAACATCAAGCCCGGATGTAGTTGTCCAAACATCAAACCCGGATGTAGTTGTCCAAACATCAAACCCGGATGTTGTTGTCCAAACATCAAGCCCAGATGTAGTTGTCCAAACATCAAGCTCGGATGTAGTTGTCCAAACATCAAGCCCAGATGTAGCTGTCCAAACATCAAGCCCGGATGAAGCTGCCCAAACATCAAGCCCAGATGTAGTTGTCCAAACATCAAGCCCGGATGTAGTTGTCCAAACATCAAGTCCGGATGTAGTTGTCCAAACATCAAGCCCGGATGTTGTTGTCCAAACATCAAGCCCGGATGTTGTTTTCCAAACATCAAGCCCGGATGAAGCTGTCCAAACATCAAGCCCTGATGTAGTTGTCCAAACATCAAGCCCGGATGAAGCTGTCCAAACATCAAGCCCTGATGTTGTTGTCCAAACATCAAGCCCAGATGTAGTTGTCCAAACATCAAGCCCGGATGTTGTTGTCCAAACATCAAGTTCTGTTGTGATTAGCACTGGTTCAGCTGTCGAATCAGCAAGCCTAAACACAGATTTAAGTTTCATGACAAGTTCTGTTATGTCCGACTACACATCTGCGTCGATATATCCTTCCCCAACATCATACGACGCCTCATCCACCGGCCTTCCAACAATATCACTTCCTCCGCCGACGTTGATGATGGACGATGTCAGTGTCCACCAAGGAGGCGGGAACGTGGTTCTCCTTTGTCATATGGACAGGAACTACACATTCAGCAGTGTGCACTTCCTCAAGAATAACGCTCTCCTGGGTCAGTCTCCAGACATCAGCGAGAACAGGACTGAGTTCACGTACATGATAAGTGATCCACGTTGCACTGACTCTGGGGAATATGAATGTCGTGTAGTGGGCGAGGAAGGGAATCTCACAACGGCGGCTAATTTAACAGTTCTTGGTAAGTAGTCAATACTTCTCATTTTAATCTCAATTACAACAGCATGCTATAAACATATATTGAATATTAAAGAAGATGCCACTAAAACTCGATATATTTAACATTATTACATAAATCTATTGTATGTACACACATGTTAAGTTGTTAGTGGCTCAATGTACAACTTACGGATTCTTTTATAAAAGATCATTCAGGGAAGCCGACCTTGACCTTGCCGATTGAGATCGTTGAAGGCAGATGGAAGGAGACGTCACTGTTTGTGTGCTCCTACAGACAGGGTATCCCTCCAGCTGAGGTGTACTGGAGTGCTACACTGGCCAATGGTACGACACTAGACAGACTGAACTTCACCACGCAGGAGTCTGTGGTCGAGAACCAGACTGACGTGTGTGCCCTGGAAGCAACCTCCCAGTTTTACTATGGCTTCAGCATGGCGTGGAATGCCTCCAGCGTCTGCTGTAACGTCAAAGAAGGAGCAAATGCTACAACAGCCTGTGGGGATGTCTATGTTATTCCATGTAAGTGGTTGAAAATTAATATTGAACAATTTAACATACTCGAATACATTTTATAGACACTGTATTTCAATATTTATCAGCAACGTTGCAATCATATTCTCAACTGTCAAAACGATTATGTTTGTTGTAAGGAATAATTATGTATTTATGTTGTCATTTGTTTTCAGCGGACACGTGCATGAACAAGACTGGAAAGTTTGAGCATCCCTACAATTGTCAACTCTGGATTGAATGTGTCTCTGATGTAGTGTACATCGCGACATGCCAGAAGGGATATTGCATTGATCTGCAGAACGATGTGTGTGTGGCAGGACCTAGTGATGGTCCAACAGGTATGGAAGTCGTCACAACAGAACGTTATGACTCGCGAGTAAACATAATATGCACGTAATAGAAAACAACAAAGTACAAAAGGTACAGAAGCTCATCTTTATCAATGCTACAAAACTTGAGAGATGAAGATATGCTCATCTATTTACTTATCTTAAAAACAATACTTCTAAACACTTTATGGGGTAAACAATGGGGATTCATTTTTATTTTTCAAATTTTCTGAATGCCACACCAACTTTGGGCTGTACCGATTCATATGCTCTTTAATACTGTGCACTGATAGGCAACCCCAGTTCTGGAAAATAATGTTGCTAAAGTCCAAGGTCATATTTCCATGATATGAATGATTAATACAATCGTTAGCCACATTACGATTGTGTAACACCTACACATGTGTATGTTAATGAGTTCCATGTGATGTAAACAGACGCATTCCAATAGGTTATTGTAATAGCTATACCTCACAAGTAACCTGTTTAATCAACGATATTCCAGAATACTGACACTATATATATATTTCGAAACTGCATTATTTTATTCATTTCAAGACAACACCAGACAACAACTAAAAAGAATTCAGATAGATTGTCATGAACGTTTGTGCACATTTTCTATTATCAAATCATTGAAAACAACTTTAAGATGTGTTGCGTGTTGTTTCATTGTCCAGTATTCCAAACTCCATATCCCTGTTACCTTGATGGTTGCTGTAATCTGATCATAGTATACGTTTATGATAACCATAGTTCATTCTTGATCGATTATGTTTCTTATTGAAATACATTCAATAGAAATTATTTGCTACGAGTTCCACTGAAGCAAGAATTTAAACCGTAGCAGAGGAGTGAGCGAGTTGCGTTTAACGCCGTTTTGAACGCCGTTATATTAGGCGCCTTTATTCGTGCTCTTGGGTGTACACCCGACAAGTGGAACAATGTTGATTTCTATACAGGGGTACCGGTTCTGAGAGAAACTGGCTCTATTATGAAGGATCGACGCTGACTGGCGTTGAAAGTGTTAGTGTAATGGCTCTGCGTAAAGACATGAATGTACTAGAAGCATTAAATCAACGATTAGTTAAATCGGGAAGATTCGTTTGTATAAATGGTATGTAATTTTGTATGGATCTTCAAACAGACATTCTGCGACATTTAACAACAATATTTATTTGAATATTGACTCTGTGACATCTGCTGCCATACTGAAGTAAAAGTAAAAGATTTGTGGCTGATATGGATGTATAAAGGTGATCCATGTAAACAGCAAGTCACTACATAGATGTAACTCTTTCACCAAGGTTCATTCTCCTGTGAAGGCAGAGTGAGTGGCGACCGCATACCACGTGGTGACACATACCCCAGTCACTGCAAAGAGTACTACTGGTGTGTAAACGGAGCTCCCGTTAACACCACATGTCCTGGAAGTTCCTATTTCATCGGGAATGCCACACCAACTACGGCCTGTACCGAGGATTACGCTCTTTCATATTGTGCACTTAAAGGTAATCCTAATCCTTGAATTCTGGGTACGTGTATTATGTAATCTGCTTTATACCTTCTCATCATCACGGTTTAGGTTTAATTTTATCTGTGCAGATTTGGTTTTAGTCGGATTATCATAACTCTGAAAATTACTTTGAATATATTCTGGTATTTGTGCTCTCAGTGAATGTGCCGTATTTTCAATAATCAAGACTGTACAAGGTCTATACCCTAAATGTGTCCTACCCAACCTAAATTTGACTTTTCAGCTGCAAATGAAACTGTGAATGGAAATGAGACAGTGACGACCGTGGGTGAGAACCATGTTTCTTTTGATTTTGTTATTCCTCTAAACTGTATAATCCAATATTGCCCAAACCTCACACGTACAAGTAATTGTCTTCCAGACCTGATTATCTATTTAGTTTATTTTTCTTAGCAATGTTTTGGATGACGTTGGAGGGGCAATGTGTTTTCCTGGTTCACTCTTGTTTGTAATGTCGGTGTTGCAAAGTAAGGTCTGACACGGTGAGTAAGACGTTGTGTGTATACAATGTATGATAACGCCCTGCGATTCAAATTATAAAACGTAGAGCACTCAATCATCGAATACTTTTATGCATTTTGTTACTGCATTTTTGTCCATATAGGTATCAAAGATACGATAAGAATTTAATATGTTTTCTTTTGTCAAAACATGCTTATCACGACGTTTTCTTTGTTTGGATTAGCGCCAGCTGAAACAACTACGACAGGTAATATAAATGAAAACACATATTTGTTTCAATGCAACCAATATGATAATGATTAATGTTATTTCAATTATTTCTGTTGACATTTTTATTCATTACTCTATCAAAGGTCTATTAAAGGTGAATTTCTTAGTCATGTCAAAACCTAATCTGATCTCCTAATATGTGTCTATGCTTAAGAAATTAGCTACTACTAGGCACTAAGAATCACAAAGCCATGACGTCATCAACCTTGTGATTTACATATTTGTCAGTAAAGTGTCGACAACTTGTTTCTGTTTGAGTGTTTTTGCAACCAAATCGATTTCATGTCTTCATGCGCCTCAACAAATAGTATAGATATGAGGAACAATATAACATATATACATAGAAATGATACACAACGCCAGTCACTCATTTGTGAACTGAGGGGTATGTAAACTATATCGGACAGCAACAACATTGGCAATAGTGACAGTGTAGAATGTCATACAAATTAAACCAAATTTGTAAGTAGCATATTGAGCATGTTTCACGGTCGTTTTGTTAACTAGGTAGATGTTCCATGTCCGTTGTTTGTTCCAGATCCATTCTCCTGCAAAAGCAGAGCAACTGGCGACAACATACCTCGTGAATACACTCACCCAAGCCACTGCAGGGATTATTATTGGTGTGTAAACGGGGCTCCCATCAACAGAACATGCCCGGGAAGTTCCCTTTTCATCGCTAATGCGACACAAGCTTTGGCCTGTACCAGCGATTATGCACTTTCATTTTGTGAACAGAAAAGAACCCCATCCTGTGAGTATGACTTTTATCATCCCGAAGTCTTGCACTTTTTCAGATCTCTTAATAACTAGAATTTGAGTGGTAAACGTACAATAAATATGTTTCATGCTTGTTTCCTGTTTCAGAACACAACTTTTTTTGGCGTTTTCTTTATATACACTACTCATAAACTGCCGTTTAAATCACACCAATAATTCGGTTGTATCTGCCCTTTCAGCTGTTGATGGTAATACAACTGGAAATGCAACAGTCACTACCAGGGGTAAGAATGACGTTTATTTGTCTCAGTTTCATTGCGAAGAACTGTGACATACAAGTCAGTGGCAGTCTAGTGATCTGAAATGATAATATTCAGTTCTGATAATACAAATGAACACATTAATATTGTTTTAAAAACACAGCTAACGTCGGTCAACATTGTTTTGTCTTTTCTTAAATAGATCCAGCAGACTTCACCACGTCAGGTATAGCATACCTTAAATGTGCTGTGCATTAATGTTTTAACACAAACCATCCGCGAACAAGTCGTAAATGAACATGTGTGTAATTGTGATGGTTTTTTTAAATCATTGCAATGTGTATTGTTACATACTTACATGTGTTTTGACGACAGTTAGAAACTATTGTATGTATAAATGCAGTGACTAATCTAAATTTCTTTTTCGAAATGTGACATATAATCGACGGTGCTAACCTGTCTCTATTAACTTTTTGTATGCGAGTAATTTGTTATAGAGTACGTGCAGTTTAAACTAAAATGCAAATGCAACAGTCACTATTAGGGGTAATAATGACGTTTAGTTGTCTCGGTTTCATTGAGGATGAAACTTGTTCAAGAACTGAGACACACAAGTCGGTAGCAATCTAGTGATATGAAATGATAATATTTAGTTCTAATAATACAAGTGTACACGTTAATATTGTTTTAGAACACAGCAAACGTCGTTCAACAATGTATTGTCTTTCGTTAAATAGATCCAGCAGACGTCACCACGTCAGGTATAGCATACCTTAAATTCGCTGTGCATTTATGTTTTAACACAAACCATCCGAAAACAAGTCGTAAATGAACATGTGTGTAATTATAATGTTTTTTTTCTCATTGCTATGTGTATTGTTTTATACTAACATGTGCTTTGACGACACGTAGAAAATATTGTATGTATAAATGCAGTGACTAATTAAGATTTCTTTTTCGAAATGTGACATATCATTAACGGTGCTAACCTCTCTATATTAACTTTTTGTATGCGAGTAATTATGTACGTGCAGTTTAAACTAACACAAGTCATTACAAAGTAGAAATAATTACAACTAACAAGACCAGGATGAGGAAAGGAGATGGCACCGCTACCCTCCAACAAACTATGTTCATGATATCAATTGATGTAACTAAAACTGCATATAACTTTGGTTACATAACAACTCCTTAAAGGTTTGAGGTTTGTCATTGGCTATTTTCATAGTTTAACCTCAAAATATATAGTACAACATGTGAACTACGTCATGATGATTATGCAGAGAGAATGTGTGTGTGTGTGTTTGAGAGAGAGAGAGAGAGAGACAGAGAATGATAATATTTCAATGAAAACGGTGCAGCCAACTGAAATATCAAGATGAAACACATACTATAACTATTTAAAGATTGTTTCGTATTGTACAATACAATATCAAAACATTAAATCAGAAATATATATAAAAAAGTAGAAATAAATCTTTGCAGCTTTTACAATTGAATTTACATATTTTTCTACAAAGTATACACATTTGCCTGAAAGCGTATGGTACCTTGTATAGTAGGGGACCATGTAGACTAACATCTTGTCCCTGAAATGAACATATCGTACAGAAAAAAACAGTTGTTCCATTATCTTAATAAAAATGTAATAAAAAGGAGCCCAGAAACTCTCTATGATACTGCAGTAATCTAGGCTTGCCAAATTATATAGACTTGCATGGGCTGTATTTGATATATTTGTATCAGGGTCTGTACGACAGGCTAGGGACCATGGACTCTTTCCGAGTGGGCTTCCTACGTCCATCCATAGTGAAGGTAGGAAAATAGATGTGGTAAAAGGGTGCAGAGCAACTGTTCCGTCATGGCAACTTTCCTGGTGATTTTACAGCTCCTCCTTCCAAGTGTGACTGCAGCGTTTACGCCTACATCGCCAGAGAGAGCACCTACCCTGGCAACTGCACTCAGTACTACTGGTGTGTAAATGGTGGGAAGCTTCCTCGGGAATGTGGTCCTGGACAGCAGGTGTATTTCAACATTTCAGAGGCCATCTTACCTTGCACAAACATACCCGCAGACTACTACTGCCAACATGTAGAAGGTAAGCTGCACTAGCTACTGTCTGTTTCATAGTGATATCAACAGCGTTCATATTGCTGACTAAAGTGTAACGCGCTGTTTTTGTTCAACGAAAGACTCACGAGTTTTTTTGTATTTATGTAGTGAATAGCTGTACGATAGCTGAGGCATCGTCAACATATTCACGCACTAGGTTTCATTTTTACCAGAACCCCGCAGCTGATCATATGTCAAAACAACTACCATTTATGTATGATATATTTCAGATGGTACACTCGAACCTTGCTTATGAAGACAATAAGCTCACAGACATGCGCGCGCAAGACGCAGGATACACAGATTAATGACACGGATGGATGTTTAATGGACAGTGGACGGACATCAACACTCATCGGGATTTTTCTGCTTTCATCTTAAGAGGCCCGACACATGGATAATGCAGGCATTTCCATTACCATAATGCGCAGGCACTGGTTCAACACACTGGTGGACGTGTCAGGACAAATATACTTCTATAACTGTTATTACCTGGAACTACTACTGAAGTTGCTTTTATATTTCCGGAAATTTGTATAGGTGAAATATACATATTTCATGCACATGTTAACACCTAACTTATCACAACGCCATATCAGCACACCAAAGTATACGTCATCTGCTACCACGAAGGTTCACTGGTGTATCTGTAAGCTATATCCAATACCTTTCGGGACTATCTCACAGTGACATGCTGCCCGCTTTACTGCCGTAATAATGAGTGATGCATGCATATTATTTCGATCTTTGTCGTTTGACTTTTAAAGGTGTATGTGCAAGCAATGGGTCGATACGTTTGGGTCGATATGGGCCGAGTGGTTAGTGAAAAACAATATCTCTCACAAGTAGTTAGCGAAGAGAATTTCATGTTTCGAAAGAATTACCGTATATTTTACGTCTCGATAGAAAATAACAGAACCCTCTCTAAAAGTACAAAATGCATTGATCTATAGCGGCAGTGTAACTGTTGAAATAGGCAAAAGCTGTATAAAGTGTCATGTATAAATGTCATCTCACTAAAGACTACTGTGCAAATAAATTATCTGTTAATGTATTTATGACATGTTTTCTTGTCGGAAATTATGTTTGGACAAAAATGATGATGGTAAATATTAAACCTACGTTTAACCTTGATAGAGACTGATAATATTGTGTATGAGCTTAATCACGACGAGAGATTTCTAAAATATATATAAAAGGGTGGTTAAAAAACACGGAGGAATAAAATCGCCACGTTATGGTAAGGAAGGAACTTATACAGTATAGGGGAAAATTGTCACGTTCTTGGCAGCTTAACGTCTATTTATATTGTTCCTGTTTTATGATTGTAATATGTATATTAATATTGTATGTGTATTTCATATCTATTCTGCTATATGTTGTGTTTAAGTATGCAGTGATTACTCATCTAATGATCTGAAAAAAAAGATAAAGGTGTATATAAATTAAAGTATTGTTTCCTGAATACTGCAGTGCTAAAATGGTTCCATATGATTGAACAGAGCTTGGTATACTCCCATAAACTGGTGTTCTGTTAACGAGTAAAAAAAAATTGATTGAGTTTACTCACCATTCTATACAACTAAAACGACCAGTGTGTATATATTTTACGAGCTATTGCAGCAAATGCTGACCTAATGTGCATGTTCAGTTTTAAAGTGTAATTGTTTGTATCAAAGATGCCTTTTTCAGTAATGTGTATATACATGTCATTACCTTTTACTGATTATATAGATGACTGATGGATACAGCGCTCACTACATGGTGTTTATCTTCAAAGTAGATCCAGAAGATGACATAATTAAATTTTAAAGCTTTTGTACTGGTACCAACATATCACCATTCAAGTCATCCGGTAAATAAAGTTATAAAAACAAACTGAACGTATGTCTACCTTGTTTGTAAAGAAAAGGTGGTTGAGTGCACAACAAATATGTAAGCTAATGCCCTTGTCAAAGTGGATGGTGAAAACTGCACTTACTCATGCATATTGATATGAATCTTTCTACAAGTTCCTACAGAGTGAAAATGGCAAAGGCAAGATAAGTGAGTGAGTGAGTTGGGTTTAACGCTTCAGTGAAACCCACGAGCACGAATATGGTGCTGACAAACCTAGAAACATAATCGGGGCGAACCGGCATTCGAACCAACAATCATAGGTTTCGGGCGTGCCCAAGGGACGCAACTCTGCACAGCGAATCGCGGCGCCTCAGACGACTGGGCCACTCGTGCCCCCAAAGGCAAATTGAAGAAATTATACAAAATGAACTAAATAATTTGTTTTGTTTCATTTCGTCACGTAAATGTGACAGTTCACAGTACGAACCATCTGAAGGGCATTAGAGCAGACCTCGAACATTATCTCAAACGTCACGAGTACACGGATGTACGTGCGAGTTAATCAAACCGAGGGAAGTATTGTATTTCAATACAACCACAAATCGTTCACAAAAGTAAAGTAAGGTATCCTACGACAGTGGACAGATTGAGTCCTCGGAATCTGTACATAATACACGCAAACTGTTAAGGCGTACTGTACACCCTTCATAGTTAGGCTCAGAGGTTTTCAGCAACCGCTGGAAATTCATTAGGATCACTTAACCTTTCCTTGACCATGTTATTTATATACAATTCCAAGTTCTTAAGTACACTGTTCGTTCTTTACATAGGACGATTTTTCTTTCGCTATTTGTTTTGTATTTTGAGTTCATTGTTTGTGTGTAAATAAGCAACATTTGACTCTTATTGCGAACTTTTTGTCCTTTATTTCAAGTTTGTATTCTTCAACCGAATGGCCGCCCATAGACAGCTTCAGTTTTCTGGAATTCCAAATGAGTTCTACTCGTGAACTGCCCCCCAAAAGATCGACCATTAATGACCAATAGTATGCTGATCATGCTGCGTGAGAATATTAACGCTAAATGTCATTAAAAGCTCACAAAAGGCACCTGCGCTGTTGCCATGGCTGTATTTCATGACTTTGGCTTTGCTCTCATTGAAACCCCTACGTTTTCACCAGATTTGGCACAGTATTTTTTGAAACATAATACGCAAGCAAGGCCACCACGTCCATCATAGTTAGAACATTTCAGCCACGCCTAACATTGTAAGGTGAAATATAATGGCAGAAACACATTACCACTGTCGTTGGGTCTTCAAAAATCAAATGATGTACAGTGTGAACATCGATCAAGACCAAAGGCTGACTACTGTACCTCTGTGTGCACGTGCGTGTATGCGCGTGTGTGTGTGTGCGCGCGTGTGTGCGTGCATGTGTGTGTGTGTGTGTGTGTGTGTGTGTGTGTGTGTGTGTGTGTGTGTGTGTGTGTGTGTGTGTGTGTGTGTGTGTGTGTGTGTGTGTGTGTGTGTGTGTGTGTGTGTGTGTGTGTGTGTGTGTGTGTGTGTGTGTGTGTGTGCATGCATAAGTATATCACGGCTAGCAATGTATGTGATCGGTATTGATTCAATTATGTATCCTCATGAAGAGAAATGTGCTCTCTATTCGGATAAATCGATGGTTCCGATATCAAGCACACACCAGACATGGCTGGGGAAGACATCTTCCCAAACAATACTCAGAAGGAGGCTTTGTAACACACTGATTTACGATCACAATCACCTACATGTCCAACTGATCCTACCACCCACGCCTTCAACTGAAACATAGTACCACTCGTCTCTCTGGCTCCCCACGCCTACAACTGACACATAACACGACTCGTCTCTCTGGCTCCCCACGCCTTCAACTGAAACATAACACGACTCGTATCTCTGGCTCCCCACGCCTACAACTGAAACATAACACGATAAGACCATTTGGCTCCCCACGCCTCCAACAGAAACATAACACGACTCGTCTCTCTGGCTCCCCACGCCTACAACTGAAACATAACACGACTCGTCTCTCTGGCTCCCCACGCCTACAACTGAAACATAACACGACTCGTCTCTCTGGCTCCGCACGCCTACAACTGAAACATAACACGACTCGTCTCTCTGGCTCCCCACGCCTACAACTGAAACATAACACGACTCGTCTCTCTGGCTCCCAACGCCTACAGCCGAAACATAACACGACTCGTCTCTCTGGCTCCCCACGCCTCCAACTGAAACATAACACGACTAGTCAATTTGGCTCCCCACGCCTCCAACTGAACATAACACGACTCGTCTCTCTGGCTCCCAAGGCCTCTAACTGAAACATAACACGACTAGTCAATTTGGCTCCCCACGCCTCCAACTGAACATAACACGACTCGTCTCTCTGGCTCCCCACGCCTCCAACTGAAACATAACACGACTAGTCAATTTGGCTCCCCACGCCTCCAACTGAACATAACACGACTAGTCTCTCTGGCTCCCCACGCCTACAACTGAAACATAACACCACTCGTCCCTCTGGCTCACCGTGGCTTTAACTGATACATAACACCACTCGTCTCTCTGGCTCCCCACGCCTCCACCTGAAACATAACACGACTCGTCTCTCTGGCTCCCCACGCCTCCAACTGAAACATAACACGACTCGTCTCTCTGGCTCCCCACGCCTCCAACTGAAACATAACACGACTAGTCAATTTGGCTCCCCACGCCTCCAACTGAACATAACACGACTCGTCTCTCTGGCTCCCCACGCCTCCAACTGAACATAACACGACTAGTCTCTCTGGCTCCCAAGGCCTACAACTGAAACATAACACGACAAGTCTATTTGGCTCCCCACGCCTCCAACTGAAACAGAACACGACTCGTCTCTCTGGCTCCCCACGCCTCCAACTGAAACATAACACGACTCGTCTCTCTGGCTCCCCACGCCTCCAACTGAAACATAACACGACTCGTCTCTCTGGCTCCCAAGGCCTACAACTGAAACATAACACGACAAGTCTATTTGGCTCCCCACGCCTCCAACTGAAACAGAACACGACTCGTCTCTCTGGCTCCCCACGCCTCCAACTGAAACATAACACGACTCGTCTCTCTGGCTCCCCACGCCTCCAACTGAAACATAACACGACTCGTCTCTCTGGCTCCCCACGCCTACAACTGAAACATAACACGACTCGTCTCTCTGGCTCCCCACGCCTCCACCTGCAACATAACACGACTCGTCTCTCTGGCTCCCCACGCCTACAACTGAAACATAACACGACTCGTCTCTCTGGCTCCCCACGCCTACAACTGAAACATAACACCACTCGTCCCTCTGGCTCACCGTGGCTTTAACTGATACATAACACCACTCGTCTCTCTGGCTCCCCACGCCTCCACCTGAAACATAACACGACTCGTCTCTCTGGCTCCCCACGCCTCCAACTGAAACATAACACGACTCGTCTCTCTGGCTCCCCACGCCTACAACTGAAACATAACACGACTCGTCTCTCTGGCTCCCCACGCCTCCACCTGAAACATAACACGACTCGTCTCTCTGGCTCCCCACGCCTACAACTGAAACATAACACGACTCGTCTCTCTGGCTCCCCACGCCTACAACTGAAACATAACACCACTCGTCCCTCTGGCTCACCGTGGCTTTAACTGATACATAACACCACTCGTCTCTCTGGCTCCCCACGCCTACAACTGAAACATAAGTCAATGTGGCCCTAAACACCAGTTTCGTCAGTGTCACCTTGTTTGTTGTAGTCAATGTGGCCCTAAACACCAGTTTCGTCAGTGTCACTTTGTTTGTTGTAGTCAATGTGGCCCTAAATACCAGTTTCGTCAGTGTCACTTTGTTTGTTGTAGTCAATGTGGCCCTAAACACCAGTTTCGTCAGTGTCACTTTGTTTGTTGTAGTCAATGTGGCCCTAAACACCAGTTTCGTCAGTGTCACTTTGTTTGTTGTAGTCAATGTGGCCCTAAACACCAGTTTCGTCAGTGTCACTTTGTTTGTTGTAGTCAATGTGGCCCTAAACACCAGTTTCGTCAGTGTCCCTTTGTCTGTTGTAGTCAATGTGGCCCTAAATACCAGTTTCGTCAGTGTCACTTTGTCTGTTGTAGTCAATGTGGCCCTAAACACCAGTTTCGTCAGTGTCACTTTGTTTGTTGTAGTCAATGTGGCCCTAAACACCAGTTTCGTCAGTGTCCCTTTGTCTGTTGTAGTCAATGTGGCCCTAAACACCAGTTTCGTCAGTGTCACTTTGTTTGTTGTAGTCAATGTGGCCCTAAACACCAGTTTCGTCAGTGTCACTTTGTTTGTTGTAGTCAATGTGGCCCTAAACACCAGTTTCGTCAGTGTCACTTTGTTTGTTGTAGTCAATGTGACCCTAAACGCCAGTTTCAACGTCTCTATGTCTGATGTAATTTAGATTATATGTGCTGTAGGCCATAGACACTAATTTTAATCACCGTCTCTAAACAAGTCTTGCATTATATTGAAGGATCTAACTGTAATTAGAGATATGCACAGCAATCGTAACAATCAAAGTATTACGCGGTTCTTTGACTGTCCTACTGGTACAAGGATGTTTATATCACCTTACATAAAAATACTAGCTCCTGATAGGCGAGGGAGTGGGCAATTATTTTCCATGTAGCCCGATCATGTATCCCGCTGAGAAATCAATCAGTTACTGGATCAAAACAATCACTGACTTGAAGAATATTTTCTTCCGACATGGTTCAGGGTATTGTTAATGTCCCTAGATGTAGGTACTAAAGATATTTTTCATGATAGAATTTTACTAGAAGTCCAAAGGATTGTTATCAATAAGAAAGGCATAGAGACATGAGTAGTTCACTAAAGTTACCAATCTATTGTCAGTGTCATTAGTGAATACAGCACAATTATTCATCTCGCTTTAAATGTTGAAGTCCTAGTGTGGTAATTGAAAAATCCGCGGACGAACATAGAGAAACAAGGTTGTTTAACAACTTCGCAAAATCTATCAATCTTTCCTTTTAGGAAATGAATTATTGTTTTACTCATTTATACATATGCTTTTGTATTACAATTAAGAAAACATACACGTATAGGCATGTTGCCCGTCTTCATTAAATATACAATAGCATGGTATGCCCTAACTTCTAAGTATTAAGATGCTAAAAGGCGTGTCCTTCCAGCATGAAATGCAATGCTCATTATAATAATTAAGCTGGCACATTAATCAAATCGTCCCTTTATGAACTAATTTAAAGTCAAATTGTTCTCAACTGAAGCACGGGGAGAGAATATGTCATTGAGACTGGAAAGGTTTATGCAGAGGACATATTAAAATCCTGTGAAAGGCAACATAGCTAGTTGCTTGGTTATTTAGTGATATCGTGACAAATTATGAAAATGAAATGCAATTTATATATTATACACGTTTTATAACAAATATTCAATCTATTCTTCTTTGTTTCTAACATCCCTTAAGTTCCTTAACTAACAGACAAGGGCTTCGTGAGGTGTTCACCATATCGACTGTTACCGCATATTTGTGTTTGGGATTCTCTCAAACATATGAATATTTGATTTCAAATAGTACAAACACAAACAGTAAAGACTTTAGTTCACTTGTAGTAAGATATCTCATAGATATGTATACACAGTAATACAATCCAGCTATCACACATGATAGATAATTTATCAAAAAGTCATAAAAGATTTTTTGCACCCAATGAGCTACGAACCCACACTTTATTACTCATACAGCCATTTACAAACTTGTTAAATGAATTCTTTGTGTTTGTAAATTGAAACCACGTGCAATGATGTTCACTGAGCTGGTAATAAAAATTGTAAAGTAAACGATTCGAAAGATAATAAACAGATGCAGTCTTGGCAGGAGGCCAAAGTGCTTATGATCCTATGTTGATGTTTATGTGGACTCAGTTAAAGTCTGCAGTAAATAGCTTTGGAAAAAATCTTTATTTATCCATGCGTTACAATGTATGTGATGTGATGCGATTAAATTTACATATTACAGCGCTTATATAATTATCATCATCTAGAATATTGTATATTCCGCTGTAATGTGTAAATTTACTCGCAGTTTGTTGATCCCTGTGACATGGCAATCGATTTCCCTCTTGCTCTGCGCATGCCCAGTTTGTAACGTTGAGGTCAGTATCTGCGGCCCTTTCCATGTTTTCGGCAGTGTGGCCTCCGATTTACGATGCTCAGTCTTTGTTTGTGGTTACGTTCTCGTTTCGTTGGCGATTCCCTGTGTATTGCAGACACATGACATTTAGTGTTGCATCTGTCAGTTTTCATTGGTAGGTCGGTTCTCGAACCATTTAATTTTATTACAAGATATCTTATTACTGCAAACCCCACTCCTTTATCTACGGTTCCAGAGCCTTACAATACTGATGTTCGAAATAGAATGCTTACGTCAGCAGTTTATTAAAACACGCGTGATAAATTCTTCACTTAATCATCGGACGAATAGGATTTAGACTAATTGCAGTTTCATTGTTCTCTTGTCTAGCCAATGGCATAGTAATACGTACTGCAAGCTCTATACGTTTTAGTACATACTTGTCATGACAAGTGCGTCGTATCCACCTACACGAGTACTCGCAGTAAACATCGACTAGTGACTTATATCATATATACAGAACGGATTATCTAACATGTAAAGTGTTGGTGATGATCTTCTGATGTTCCTTATGTTCTTGACAAATCGACAGCGAGAGGGAAAGTTTTTGTGATTAAGGTTTCTTGAAATGTGTCGAATTATATTTCTCCCTCTGGAAAGCTACAAGAACGCCGTGAGCATACCGGAAACACAGAACATATAGGCTTGTCAACACAGGGAACACCTATACACATCCGTGAAAATGTCTTTCTTAAGGTATGAGTACATTGAAACATGTTACACACCAAATGATTGATTGCAACAACGCACACAAGTTAACTGAGTACTATGTATTACATTTCGGCATAACAGAGATTCGTGAAAGTGATCAAATGCTATACTGCGTTAAGACTGTTAAATGTTGCCCATGATGACTGACTAATCTAGGGCATAATGTGTGTCAAATAAGTATTATATTTTAACTCACTCGCGTAATAATTTCTTATGTAATATTATATTTGTATTTTGGGTGAACACAAAAGTGAAAGAAATAAGTAGAATTGTCAAGATGTGATTTTAAACAGTGGACAGTTTACCTCATGGTCCTGTTTCATAGAAATGTATGCAAATCTAGTTTTCCTTCCAGAAGGCTGCAAGACGGTAACGCAGTTACGCACCAACACGATGGACCCCCTTGCACACCAGTGGAAACGCCAGTTTTTAGGTTTGGATTCGTTTTAAATAGTTCTGCTCAATCACAACTAAAATAGCGGTACATGTTCAAAATATGCACGTAAGAAAGGACAATGTCCCTTCTAGGATTACAAAAATAGGAGATCGTAACAGTGGTTAAAATAGCCGTCAGTTTATGAGTTACGACAGGATTGCTGCATTCTGCTGACTGAGAATATGATTACTCAACATAGTTGGATCGTAATATATATTGTGGAAAACACTGCCAGTATGAAGCCCATGTCTGGTGTCCCCCGCCGTGATATTCCTCGAGTGTTGCTAAAAGCGGAATAAACCATACAGACTCACTGGAAATACATGTTCTTGTTTATTTACCAATAACATGGTTTGTCATATGAAATTGGGGCACTGACTTCCCAATACGTTAAACCAAATCGTGCTTTAGAACTGGTTCTCCAAGAGACAAATATAGCCGTTAAAACAGTGTATCCACAATATGGCGTCGCATTGACTATGGTTGACAGAGGCTGCCTAATCCTGATCAGTAAATGTATAGTGGATCTGTTTCTGACTAACACAAAAACAGCAACTGTTACGTCTTAATAATGGAGAGAGTATATATCACAAGGACGATGCTGATATTTATTAAATACACACTTATAAACACATCAAAACAATAATCCCTAGTAACTCGTTGCATATCATTTAACTATTGTATTTTACTAAGTACACCAGCGGCAGTCAGTGAGCAGCAAACACCTTGAACATCCATCCATGTCCCTTTGAAGCACACCCATCTATAGAAACAGATGCTCAGTCAGGGGAATGAGTACATGAACAATGAGTCTAGTTACCCGGGACGTCGTCTGTACCACCCCAGTTACCAGTTACTATGAGTAATGAAGATAAATAAACAAACGAATCGAAAGCGTCAGTACGTAACATTCAAGTTTTCAAAACAGTAGTCTACATCTGTTTCTTCTCCAATGAGTATATTAACCAGATAATGATTGCCCTGATTACTCTGTGTCTCAGTCTGACTCTTGTATATTGCACGATCTTGACCAGACCAGATCTTAATGGTTACCCATCTCAAACAGGCTGTATAAACAAAGTGTTAATTGTTAGAAATGTGCAAAATCAGAAATTTGTAAAAGTGCAAAAAAAAGTCCTGGCAGGCATTATCCATAATCCTGTTTTGTAAAAGGAGCATGAGTAAGTCAATGTAATCACATCTCGTTTCGCCCCATTGAAATAGTTAAAGTCCACAGACAAACACGTTATGTAAATACGTAAATATACAAAGACAGTGCAAGTCAACAACCAGAAAACATTCAATCTTCAATCTATTGGTTATGGTTTGGTTTTTTCTGGTTAAGTCCAATCTTTGCGGTGTGTTCAACCATACTGAAAGTCAGGTAAAATGCCAGATAAATGCCAGAACAGTTAACAATCAAATGGACTGCTTATATAGTGTTTCCACAATATTGAGTGGCATTGGCTATTTGATTCAATGACACATTCATAATTAGCGCCACCAAGTGCCTACAACACCAAATAGCTTGGTTAATTAGTTAAAGTATCGTGTAAAAGTATCAATATTTTAGCAAAATATTGTTGATACTGACCGCATACCGTCAGTTACAGCCATCTTGGATTTTCAAACACCCACCGCACATATTTCACATGAAAATTCTGGTACAGAAATTCGTTATTCGACACTATTTTGTGTTTTAATATAATTAATTTTGATGTGCAAGGTCGTTCATGATTTTTAGATCACGTTCGTGACTTTAATAAGATTATATAAAGTTAAAATTATCAACAAGGTTTCGCCTCTGAGGTTTGAAGAGTAGTCTCCCTTCGACCCCTCGCGTATTAGGTTGTAAGTGTTAAGTTTTGAGTTTTAAGTTTTGACATGACATAACGACAAAGATACCAAATAGTGTAAACTTTTCGGCATAATAAATTCGTTATGGTGTCTTTAGTTGCCGTATACGGTGTCATATTAGGTTAGCAGAAATCATATTGGGCTCGGCTGACGCCTTTCCTAATATTTTTTTCTGCTAACCCTGACGTCTTTCCCAATATTTTTCTGCTAACCTAAGATGACACGGTATACGGGAACTAAAGACACCATAATTAATAGTATATGTTTTAGTGGCCTCATGTTTTCCTCTAGAGAGCTACGGGAAGGCAGGGGTGCAAGTGACAACGGATCTAGACGGTGAGTTCAACACAGAAAGACCTCCAAACACTAACTTACTTCAGCTTGCGAATCGAAAAAACAATATAATCGCGGGAAATGAATTCGCCTTTCTTTGTCTTGATATCGATACATGACTGTATATGTTTAAATGGGATCATGTTTTCGTCTAGAGAGCTACAGGAAGGCAGGGATGCAAGTGACACCGGACCTAGACGGTGAGTTCAACACAGGATGACTTCTAAACACTAACTTACTTCAGCTTGCTTATCGAAAAAACAACATTATCGCGGGAAAGGAACTCGCCTTTCTTTGTCTTGATATCCATACATGACTTTATTATGCCTCAAAGTGAGATTGACCAATCAGAGAGTAGAACTACTGACCCCACATTAGCCCGTACCGTCAGTAAAAATCCAAGATGGTTGATACTGACCTAATATGAGACCGCATACCGTCAGTAACAGCCATCTTGGATTTTCAAACACCCACCTCACATATTTCACATGAAAATTCTGGTACAGAAATTCGTTATTCGACACTATTTTGTGTTTTAATATAATTAATTTTGATGTGCAAGGTCGTTCATGATTTTTAGATCACGTTCGTGACTTTAATAAGATTAAACAAGGTTTCGCCTCTGAGGTTTGAAGAGTAGTCTCCCTTCGACCCCTCGCGTATTAGGTTGTAAGTGTTAAGTTTTGAGTTTTAAGTTTTGACATGACATGTGCGACAAAGATACCAAATAGTGTAAACTTTTCGGCATAATAAATTCGTTATGGTGTCTTGAGTTGCCGTATACGGTGTCATATTAGGTTAGCAGAAATCATATTGGGCTCGGCTGACGCCTTTCCCAATATTTTTTTCTGCTAACCCTGACGTCTTTCCCAATATTTTTCTGCTAACCTAAGATGACACGGTATACGGCAACTAAAGACACCATAATTAATAGTATATGTTTTAGTGGCCTCATGTTTTCCTCTAGAGAGCTACGGGAAGGCAGGGGTGCAAGTGACAACGGATCTAGACGGTGAGTTCAACACAGAAAGACCTCCAAACACTAACTTACTTCAGCTTGCGAATCGAAAAAACAATATAATCGCGGGAAATGAATTCGCCTTTCTTTGTCTTGATATCGATACATGACTGTATATGTTTAAATAGGATCATGTTTTCGTCTAGAGAGCTACAGGAAGGCAGGGATGCAAGTGACACCGGACCTAGACGGTGAGTTCAACACAGGATGACTTCTAAACACTAACTTACTTCAGCTTGCTTATCGAAAAAACAACATTATCGCGGGAAAGGAACTCGCCTTTCTTTGTCTTGATATCCATACATGACTTTATTATGCCTCAAAGTGAGATTGACCAATCAGAGAGTAGAACTACTGACCCCACATTAGCCCGTACCGTCAGTAAAAATCCAAGATGGTTGATACTGACCTAATATGAGACCGCATACCGTCAGTAACAGCCATCTTGGATTTTCAAACACCCACCTCACATATTTCACATGAAAATTCTGGTACAGAAATTCGTTATTCGACACTATTTTGTGTTTTAATATAATTAATTTTGATGTGCAAGGTCGTTCATGATTTTTAGATCACGTTCGTGACTTTAATAAGATTAAACAAGGTTTCGCCTCTGAGGTTTGAAGAGTAGTCTCCCTTCGACCCCTCGCGTATTAGGTTGTAAGTGTTAAGTTTTGAGTTTTAAGTTTTGACATGACATGTGCGACAAAGATACCAAATAGTGTAAACTTTTCGGCATAATAAATTCGTTATGGTGTCTTGAGTTGCCGTATACGGTGTCATATTAGGTTAGCAGAAATCATATTGGGCTCGGCTGACGCCTTTCCCAATATTTTTTTCTGCTAACCCTGACGTCTTTCCCAATATTTGTCTGCTAACCTAAGATGACACGGTATACGGCAACTAAAGACACCATAATTAATAGTATATGTTTTAGTGGCCTCATGTTTTCCTCTAGAGAGCTACGGGAAGGCAGGGGTGCAAGTGACAACGGATCTAGACGGTGAGTTCAACACAGGATCACTTCTAAACAATAGCTTACTTCAGCTTGCTTATCAAAAAATACAATACTATCGCGAGAAATGAATTCGCCTTTCTTTGTCTTGATATCCATACATGACTGTATATGTTTTAATGGGATCATGTTTTCCTCTAGAGAGCTGCAGGAAAGCAGGGGTGCAAGTGACAACGGATCTAGACGGTGAGTTCAACACAGGATCACTTCTAAACAATAGCTTACTTCAGCTTGCTTATCAAAAAATACAATACTATCGCGAGAAATGAATTCGCCTTTCTTTGTCTTGATATCCATACATGACTGTATATGTTTTAATTGAATCATGTTTTCCTCTAGAGAGCTGCAGGAAAGCAGGGATGCAAGCGACACCGGACCTAGACGGTGAGTTCAACACAGGATGACTTCTAAACACTAACTTACTTTAGTTTGCTTATCGAAAACACAGTACTATCGCGAGAAAGAAATTCGCCTTTCTTTGTCTTGATATCCATACATGACTTTATTATGCCTCAAAGTGAGATTGGCCAATCAGAGAGTAGAACTACTGACCCCACATGAGCCCGTACCGTCAGTAAAAATCCAAGATGGTTGATACTGACCAAAATGAGACCGCATACCGTCAGTAACAGCCATCTTGGATTTTCAAACACCCACCGCACATATTTCACATGAAAATTCTGGTACAGAAATTCGTTATTCGACACTATTTTGTGTTTTAATATAATTAATTTTGATGTGCAAGGTCGTTCATGATTTTTAGATCACGTTCGTGACTTTAATAAGATTATATAAAGTTAAAATTATCAACACGGTTTCGCCTCTGAGGTTTGAAGAGTAGTCTCCCTTAGACCCCTCGCGTATTAGGTTGTAAGTGTTAAGTTTTGAGTTTTAAGTTTTGACATGACATGTGCGACAAAGATACCAAATAGTGTAAACCTTTCGGCATAATAAATTCGTTATGGTGTCTTGAGTTGCCGTATACGGTGTCATATTAGGTTAGCAGAAACATATTGGGCTCGGCTGACGCCTTTCCCAATATTTTTGCTGCTAACCCTGACGTCTTTCCCAATATTTTTCTGCTGACACCATAATTAATAGTATATATTTTAATGGGATCGTGTTTTCCTCTAGAGAGCTACGGGAAGGCAGTGATGCAAGTGACACCGGACCTAGACGGTGAGTTCAACACAGGATGACTTCTAAACACTTACTTACTTCAGCTTGCTTATCGAAAACACCATACTATCGCAAGAAATGAATTCGCCCCTCTTTGTCTTGATATCCATACATAACTCTGTATGTTTTAATGGGTTCATGTTTTCCCCCTGAGAGCTGCAGGAAGGCGGGGATGCAAGTGACACCATCCTTAGGCGATGAGTTCCATTCAGGATGACCTTTAATAACTAACTTACTTCAGCTTGTTCTTCGAAAATGACAGTTTGGGTTCCATATTCATCGGCGTTATACAACGGCTGGAACGTTGCATTTGATAATGTTTGTGATACTTATTACATACATACTTAGTGGTTAATAAATGGCAGTATTCATTTCATACCCAATACCCCGGGCTGCTATCGATCATCCATTGAAAATGCATTGACAAGCCATATCAGACCTTCAGCAAGGTGTAATACAGGTCTGGTCATTACACATCCCGTGACACGACCGTCCCCATGTTGGCTCTATCGCACATGCGTAATGCATGCTGGAGTGTTGGAGACTAGATATATATTTTCTAATTAAAGCTATGAGCTATAATTTTGAAAAAAAGAATAATCTTTGTTTGTTCTCTTAGGGAGCAGCAACGTGATGAGGCTTCTGACAGAACAGCAAGGCGGTGAGTGGTACTGGGAGATAGACATAGTCGCGAAGCCTCAGTGGCATCCTTCCTCAGCTTGCCTAAAGAAAAGAAAATTATATCTCAGGAAAGTTTGAAGGACTGTAGATTGCTATCTGTGGCTTCATATCCATCAATCATGTGTCCAACTGTATTTCTTACTCTAGAATGTTTGAAGAACGCAGGAAGATTGCCGAAAGCAAAGCCAGGCGGCGATTACGCACACAGCGGACGTCACGGGAAATAACTCCCCTTCTTTTGAAACACAAACGTGTCATTGTTGGTACTGCCGTTGCAGTCGGTGCTGTTGTTGCACTGGCTGCCGTCGTAGGTATTCTAGCCAGTAGAAACACTAAACCGATAACAGCAACAACGACAACGACATCAACAACTACAACGTTTCTGCTTCCATCTCTGTCAATGCAAAATGTGACCTTCTTTGAGGGAGAAGAGGATCTGTATCTCCTGTGCACGATATCTGGTGACGAAGAAATATCCGAGGTCTTATTTTTCAAAGATGACGCTCAGCTGAAGGATGGGTATAGTATTGACGTCAATGGGAGGCAATATGCCCTGACAAAGAAAGGAGCCACGTGCTCGGACTCGGGAAAGTATATGTGTCGGGCGACTGGGGAGTTTGGAACCATCTACACAGCATCCACGGTAAATATATCTGGTAAGCACGCATTGGACAAGCCCGGGATTACGATCTTTTACTGTCTTGAAGTTGAATGGTCATTAAATTAAGGCAATTAATTAAATATCATGAGCAACATATTATGCATACGATTGAAGTACTATTCACCACAGGCCATTCGGTTTGCTTTCATTTCCTGAATTAGATATCCTTAAAAATCAATTTAATGGCGTTATCTCCTGACGCTTGCCGATCAAGTTTCCTATTCAGATATATGTCAACTCCAAAATGTTCTAGCAAAAAAATATTGCTCATGTTCTCTGCATCAATGATGGGCATGTTACATTTATAAAAAAAAAAATATATTGTTGGTCGCTATTTGTCTCTATTTTTTATGTAATAAATGTGGCCTAAAATATTTCTAATTCCTGTCCTATTCATTGGCCATACGAATAGCATCAAACAAGTTCATTTAAATGCTTCTCTTACAGCGAAGCCATGTAAACCTACGCTAAAAGATGCATGGCAGATCATTTTGAACAACATTTCAAGTAATCCAAACAGTATGAATCAACAGGGATTTGAGGTGCCACAAGCGTGTAATGGAACTTTGGTCGACGCTGAGAGATGCTGTTACCTCATAGACAATGGGGGGATAACTCTGCATCTGAAAGGATGTGAGAACTTCACCTTCACGGCAGGTAAATATTGTAGAGTACTGAGACTGACCACAATTCAAAACACCAGTAGATGCGCGACACAGTGAGGTTTACGTTTAAGTTTTTGTTTGTTTGTGTGTTTGTTGTTTAACGCCGTACGCTTAAGTCCTCAGCAGCAATGATATCACAGCAACCTGGAAGTATAAACAGGACGTAGCCCAAACTTGATCACTGAAGGCCGCCGTCAGGTTATGATGAAGCATGGAATCAGCCATCACTCTTACACTGAAGCCCGTGTAGTCACCCAATCTTCTCGCCTCTTACAACCAGCATGTAGTCACTGGAACGAGTTCCAGTCTTTGATTACCAAATAAATAAACGTCCGGGAAAATTATTGTGGCCTGGAACGTCTAAGGTACCTGCAATTGTGTAGTCTGACAAAATCCGTCACGTCCTACAACCGTACTTGATTTTTTATAACTTTTAACAAGTGTTTTCTCAACCATTATTCAGTGGGGGCGGTGGGGTAGCCAAGAAGGTTAAAGCGTTCGCTCGTCACGCCGAGCTCTATTCCCGGATACAATGTGCGAAGCCCATTTCTGGTGTCCCTCGGCGTGATATCGGCGTGCTGGAATATTGCTAAAAGCGACGTAAAACCATAGTCATTCACTCACTCACTCACTCATAATTCAGTGAGCATATTATTCGTACCCACATATATTTATTTACCCCCCACTTCATCCGAACCTTAATACTGTTTTTATGAGCTCTTTAGCTGTTTTGCTTGTTTAACAGTACATTTAGCAATAATCCAGCTATATGACGGCGGTTTGTAAATTATCTATCTGGACCAGACAATCCAGTGATTGATATCATGAGCATTGGGATACGATGACACGCATGAACTAAGTCAGCGACTTGGTTACGACAATAACAGTCGCCTTTCAATGCTAGCATGGGTCCCTGAAGACCTATTCTACCCCGGTTACTTACGGGTACTTACTTGGTAATGTCAGTACAACACTTAACATAACAGTATCGTAACAATATCTATTTATGCACTTTAAAATGGTAAATATTAGTATTCTGAATCTTGTCAATAACCTTTCATAAAATATTCACTTTGTTATAGCTGTTGACTAATGTTTGGGGGTAAGTATCGACGGCACCAGTTAAAAAATAGTTATATTTGTGTATACAAGAAGATATATTAACAAAGCCCTGCTGGTTGTAATAATTACAGACGTGTCTCCCTGTGACTGTACGGCTGACCGTGTGGCAGTCCCCAGACCCACCACATACCCCGACAACTGTAACCTGTACTACACGTGTAGTGGAGGTGTCAAACAGGACGCCACGTGTACCGGAAGTGACTTCACTGCCGACCCCAGCAAGCAGGCGTGTACCGCCAATCCAGATGACAGCTATTGTGCCAAGGTCAAAGGTGTGCAAAGCTTTAAATGTTATCACATAATAACGGTATCATAAATAATATCACCGAGTCATTATAATTATATATGTTATAAGTGGTGTATTGATGAAAACGAATAACAACAAGGATCAGTGATAAAAAGTAATTCTCAAATGTGAAAGAGTGAGTGAGTGAGTGAATATGGTTTTACGCCGCTTTTAGCAATATTCCAGGAAAACGGCGGGGGACACCAGAAATGGAAGTGACTACTTCAGTGCCGACCCCAACAAGCAGGCGTGTACCGCCAATCCATATGACTCCTATAGTGTCAAGGTCCAAGGTGTGCAGAGGTTTAACGGACATAACGCTCTAACGTTATCGTATGTACTCCAAGTTCCTGTTATTGTTGAATTAGGTTTATTGATTAACAATGAATTACAATCGGGTCAATACATCATAGAGAACAGAAACAATGGTTGAAAGCCAGCGATTCAAGGTTTGTATGTAGATATTTGTTACAACCTGCGAAAATACTGATGAGATAATACTTTTGTTTCACAGCAGGTGAAATCAAGGCATGCTCATCGCCCGCAGGATAACACAGAGTGACACAGAGTGAGACAGAGTGACACAGAGTGACACAGAGTGAGATAGAGTGACAAAGAGTGACAAAGAGTGACACAAGCTAACACAGACTGACACAGAGTGAGACAGGGTAACACAGAGTGACACAGAGTGAGATAGAGTGACACAGAGTGACACAGAGTGAGATAGAGTGACAAAGAGTGACACAGGCTAACACAGACTGACACAGAGTGAGACAGGGTAACACAGACTGACACAGGTTAACACAGAGTGAGACAGGTTAACACAGAGTGACACAGAGTGAGACAGGGTAACACAGAGTAACACAGAGTGAGATAGAGTGACACAGAGTGACACAGAGTGACACAAAGCGAGATAGAGTGACAAAGAGTGACACAGGCTAACACAGAGTGACACAGAGTGAGACAGGGTAACACAGACTGACACAGGCTAACACAGAGTGAGACAGGTTAACACAGACTGACACAGAGTGAGACAGGGTAACACAGAGTGAGATAGAGTGACACAGAGTGACACAGAGTGACACAGGCTAACACAGACTGACACAGAGTGAGACAGGTTAACACAGAGTGACACAGAGTGAGATAGAGTGACACAGAGTGACACAGAGTGAGATAGAGTGACAAAGAGTGACACAGGCTAACACAGAGTGACACAGAGTGAGACAGGGTAACACAGACTGACACAGGTTAACACAGACTGACACAGAGTGAGACAGGGTAACACGGACTGACACAGGTTAACACAGAGTGAGACAGGTTAACACAGAGTGACACAGAGTGAGACAGGTTAACACAGAGTGACACAGAGTGAGATAGAGTGACACAGAGTGACACAGAGTGAGATAGAGTGACAAAGAGTGACACAGGCTAACACAGAGTGACACAGAGTGAGACAGGGTAACACAGACTGACACAGGTTAACACAGACTGACACAGAGTGAGACAGGGTAACACGGACTGACACAGGTTAACACAGAGTGAGACAGGTTAACACAGAGTGACACAGAGTGAGACAGGTTAACACAGAGTGACACAGAGTGAGACAGGTTAACACAGAGCGACACAGAGTGAGACAGGTTAACACAGACTGACACAGAGTGAGACAGGGTAACACAGACTGACACAGGTTAACACAGAGTGAGACAGGTTAACACAGAGTGACACAGAGTGAGACAGGTTAACACAGAGTGACACAGGCTAACACCGTCTTACACAGAGTGGGACAGGTTAACACAGAGTGACACAGAGTGAGACGTCCAACTAGCGTCAGATCAGATGTGAACACACCTATAGCATTACCATGGTTGACATCCAAGCACACACACGTGACAACACTCATACGCAATGTTTACAGGTGGCATATTTATTATCATGTCGTATTGTTGGTTTACAAAACTAATATCACTTTATGATGGAGATTATGATGATGTTGATAATAACAATAATAATAATAATAATCAAATGTGATTTTGCATCAAAATTTAAATATGAAATGTAGATTATGCAAAGTAGAATAGCAATTGGTACTATTGTCAATAAACGGTTTCACAATGTGCATATTGTTGGTTTTGTATTGCAACCCGGATACTGCGCGTTATCCACAGGACGCTAAAAATGAAATGAACAGCAGAATGCAAGTCCCAAGAATCCCACCAACTCCCGTGCTACACACCCCCGTGTGTTGATAAAAGTGCAAGGGTCTAGATATATTTCATCACATACCCAAAAAACAAAAGTCATGCTCAACGAAGCAATGCCATTTGGCCATTGGGGATTATCGACTCTCTGTCAGGCAAGGCTACTGAACAGAGCACCAGAGGACGACATTGGCACCGTTATGAGAGGGACTGTGTGGGGTCTGCGACATTATTTTTCGTTTCATAAAAGGAGGCTGAGATATTTTTAAATCACATTTCCAATTCAATCTGTGGAAAGAATGTTCACTAAAGCATTACAGAAATGGGTGATTTTAAAACAAAATAATGAAAATACCAAACAACAGGGATGAGAATAAATCGCCTAAAATAATCAATAACCAAAACAATTTGCTCAGTTATGCACATTACAAACAAAATATTTAAAAAAAAGAAAGAAAAAAAGTTCAGTTGAACTTGAATTTGAAGCTACACTTACAGTATGGCAACCAACAAAGATATGGGTATAAAAGGAACAGTGTTCTGTTCATTCACACCCAAACCCCTGAACAGTGACTATATCATGCTGAGATTAACACTACAACAAAGAGTACAAGATATTGCTATGATACATCAAGGAACAACGCATTCGAACCGTTTTGAGGCTGGCAGCATTTGTAGCCCTGTCAATGCGGAATCATTATCCCTGTAAATGTGGCTCTTACTCAGGAAGAAGAACGATCATTGTGCACATACCAAGAAACACAGCAGACCATTCGGCCACACGTAATTCAAGTCATAAAACCAACGAAACGTTGTTTTTCTTAAATGACACTGCCCACCCACACTCACGATTCCCAAATGATTTCCTAGCACACACAACTATAAGACGCGTACCCATCTTTGTCAATGCCAGATATTCTTTCAAAATTGAAAAGACATTGATATACTGGACTGGACCTTCTGAAACGATAGGGTAAATGCTTCTAAACATTATCACCTGTTAGATGGATTAATATCAAAATTTAGTACACATTCTTTCGGCTAAAACGTCCTGTCCAAGACCTTCATCAGGTGTATGGATTTCAACTGTTTTGTTTCAGTGTCAGTATTACAGCAACGCCAAGTACACCTATAGTGGAAATCAGGAAAGAAAACTTATTGATGATGCATTGCATTAAATATTGTCTGGTGATAGGAAAGTAGTCAATCCTTACATTGGAGTGTCTTGTTCAAGACTGCAGAGAGCAGGGAAAATATCTTCAAGACTCAATCTGTTCCTCCCCTGAGAATTTCGAAGTACCGCAGGTTTTTTATCCAACTTGGGAAGATGCTGAGATGTTTTATTACCTGAAAGTGTGAGGGGGCCTGGCCGTGCAAGGATGAGAGATATTCACCTTCAAAGTAGGTATGTACTAGTATAGTGCCCGCATACTGAACATGAAATTATCTGAATTGTGATTCAGCCTATTTACACGAATATGGCACTGGACGTCCGCTAACCAAGGTCATCGCTCGTTTGGTGATTTGCCGGCGTGTTGCTGTGTGACCTGCTCTTTTGGTGATTTGATGGTGGGTTGCTCTGTAACCTGCTCTGTTGGTGATTTGATGGTGTGTTGACGTCTACTCGCTCTGTTGGTGATTTGATGGCGTGTTTCTGGGTAACCTGCCCTGTTGGTGATTTCTTGACGTGTTGATGTGTTACCTGCTCTATTGGTGATTTGATGGCGTGTTAATCTGTAACCTGCTCTGTTGCTGATTTGATGACGTGTTGATGTGTAACCTGCTCTGTTGGTGATGTGATGACGTGTTGCTCTGTAACCTGCTCTGTTGGTGATTTAATGACGTGTTGATGTGTAACTTTCTCTGTTGGTGAATTGATGGCATGTTGCTGTGTGACCTGTTATATTGGTGATTGGATGGTGTGTTGCTCTGTAACGTGCTCTATTGGTGATTTGATGGCGTGTTTCTAGGTAACCTGCTCTGTTCAAGATTTGATGGTGTGTTGCTGTGTAACCTGCTCTGTTCAAGATTTGATGGCGTGTTGCTGTGTAACCTGCTCTGTTCAAGATGTGATGGCTTGTTGCTGTGTAACCAGATCTATTGGTGCTTGGATGGTGAGATGCTGTGTAACCAGATCTATTGGTGATTTGATTGCGTGTTGCTGTGTAACCAGTTCTATTGGTGATTGGATGGTGAGATGCTGTGCTATCTTTTCTTTTCGTGATTTGATGGCACGTTGCTGTGTCATCTGTTCTGTTGATGATATCTGTTCTATGTGAATAGGATATCTTTGAGAAGATTACGCCAATGACGGGTTTTAAAAAGTAATTGTTAACATTCAAAATAAAGAAGATTTATCACACCGTTATATGAGACATCTCTAGAGGAAACATTTTTGTTTCACAAACACTTGTGTATCAATGTATCAGTTAATTTACGCTTTACAAGTTCTTTGAGGGATTATTTACTTTCCATTGATTGGTTGTCACAAAAGTAATGCAGACCAGTTTAATATATGTATGAATTATAGTATCGTTATGTAAGTGTTACTCCGACGATTTAGAACTGACCCTACTATCATGTCATGGGGTGATTTAATTCACGCACATGGAAGTTGTAAGATGGCATCATAAGAAACGGGCACGCGGACGAAGTAGATATCTTCGATTATCATGGCTTAGCTGATAGATGTAATGAAGATTCTGTTATTATCCAGATTAGTCGAGCTTTGTCAGCCTTAGAATATGTCAATATTGAATTAGCATTACAGTATTCGATTCTGGTGGATTTACTTCTTTTCTGAGACTAGTACCTGTACCATAGGATACTGCATTTTCTGAGGAACAATTAGAAATTTTTTTTAGATATTATTATTTCAATTCAGTAGACATATATGTAACATTGGTACATGAGGTATATACATGTAGCAATTCATTGAATCTTAAAACATGATCCGATATGGGTAAGTACATCTATTGATTGACTGAGAAATTATAATAAGTAGGCTGATAATTCCTTCCATTTTCTGTCGAATCTCTTAATACTACTATTTTTTATTGCGATGAATTTTTCTATTTTACTTTAAAGAACAATTAAAAAATATATCAGAGCTCGAGCTTGGTAACAAGAGGAGTATAAGAACCTGCCATTAACATTTTCTACAAGGAGTCAGGAGTGCATCACAGCTCAATATATAGAGTCAGATACATTTGTTTGGGGCGATTTAAAAAGAGATTTATATATTAGCAACCTTTCTGGTATTACTGCTCAGAAACATCAACAAGATGTTACAAATATGCTTAGTGTGGATGTTAACAAATCTGTGTGTATATTTAACTCTGTTTTATATAAATCCAATGCATGTTTAGTTAAGAATCTAAAACTTATGTCTGGTATGATAAAGAATGTCGGATGTTGGAAAGGGAGAGTAGCAGAATGCTTAGACACCATATGCATAGGCACTGTAAAACCAGGCGTGGTTTTAGCAAATATAAAGTTATTTTGAATAAATATATATCTACTTTAAGAAAGAAAAAGGAGTTTTTTTAATAAAGGAGAAGTGGGTTATTTATATTTACTGGCACAGGACTCTGACTTTAAACAGTTTGGTCTTATTGCAAACGCTTGCGTCGCCGGAAGTGGTCTGTTAGGTAATTGGGTTACTAGGTCAAATGAAAGTAATTAAGCCTCTGGTGAGAATCTCGATTTCCACACACAACATGATTGTGATATTGTGACTGGACATGATGATCAGGTATTGGCTATTGTGGAGATGTCATCTGTATTTGATCTTGTTGTCAAGGTGTTGTCCCAAGCCAGTGCTTAACAGGTATTATTGTACCGCTTGATAAAAGTGGGGCAATCGACAAGTATAGGGTTATTACTTTATTGTCGATATTTAGTCAAATATATATTGGTATTTTGAACAAGAGAATCACGAAGTGGGCTAGCGTCAGTGAAAGGATTACTGAGGCACAGGGGGGATTTAGGACTAGATATGCAACCACTTATAATGTATTCACACTACATGCAGTTATTAAAAAATATAATTCTAAGAAAATAGGTACATTATATGTTACTTTTGTTCGACTCCGAGGACAGGACCAAACTTTAATACCTTCTTAAAAATACATATTTTGGAAGATGTTACGGATTATTAAGAGTATATGGTCAGTATTAAAATCTTTTGTTCAGACAAATGAAGGATTTACAGATTTATTGGATTGTCCAATTCTATTTTCTCTATTTATAAATGAATTGGTTTCAGAAGGAGTTGGTACAGTGATAGGGGTGTTCAGTTATTACCAGATTTATTGGCGTTATTTCTATCACTCTTTGCCGACGATGTGGTTCTTATTTCTTAAGTTGTGAACCAATATAATTATCTTGGTATTATGATAGTCCACACAAGTCAGTTAGTCTTTCTCAAAGTTGTACATACGTTGCAATAAATGACAAGAAAGCATTATTTGATGTGCTGAGGACAATGTATTGTTATGACCAATGTTCATACAACGTTTACTGTAAGAGTTTTGATTCTCAAATAATGCCACTTTTACATTGTTGTTCGTAAATGTAGGGATACCTAAGACAGGAGTGCACAGAGAGGGTACATTATATTGCTTGTGAACGTTTTCTGAATAAACGTGAGACTACTCCCAATGCTATGGTTTTGGGAGAATGTGGAAGATACCCTATATATGATATTTCTCTACCGACATGCATTAAGTTTCGGATAAGGTTTATGCATATTGCCTAGCAATAGACTTGTAAGGTTTATAAAATGATTTATATCTTTGACTAATCGTTATACGAGGCTACTTCTATCTAGAATGTGTTGTTTCGATTCGGTTTTGGCTTTGCATTGATCTTCCAGGAAGTGGGCAGTGTTCCAATATTTCTGATAGACTTTAAACAAAGAATTAGAGACATGGTAACTCAATGTAAGTTTGAGTTAGAACCTGAGTTGTAGATTATAGTTCCTTCATTTGCTTTATATAGTCGCGAGTTGACAAAATTACGTACATGTATTATCCGTGGAACAATGGCGATATGCCGGTTAATGCAGAGTCAGCGCATATGTGTCCTGTGTAATTTACATTTACTTGAGCCTGGTTTTCATTTTCTTATGATTTGTCCAGTTTATAGAGTCTTAGAGAACAGTGTCACCCTGTAAATTATATAACTACACACAAACATTATGGGAACACCAAAATATTCTGTTATAAAAAGGAGCATTTAATGACATGTGGTCGTATCATTACAATTGTGCATTAGCAGATTATCAAGCTTCAAAACAAAAACATTTACAGGTTTACAAGAAATTGGGGGTCAAAATTGGAAATCACAATGTCAATAGTGAGTGTGTTCGGTGATGCAAACTGAAGCTTCCCCATACCATCACAGAGCCACCGCCAAACCTGTTTCTTTCTCGTACAGTGGCATCATCATAACGTTCTCCAGGACGTCTCATAACCCTTACCCTTCAATCATTATGCTCAAGACAGAAACGGGACTCGTCAGTGAAGAGAACTCTGGACCATTGTTGATTATCCCATCTCAAATGTGCCCTGGCCTAGGCAAGTCTTGCAGCTCGGTGATGAGGACGAAGATGAGGACGTACAGCTGGACGACGTGACCTTTAAGGAGCAGCTCTGAGGCGGTCCCTGATGGTCCATACGCTTACGTTGGTGTGTGTTGCTTGTCGTAGTTGCAGTCTCAAAGCACTGGCTGTTGTGAGCTGGTTCCGAAGGGCTTGCAGCACAACGTATCGGTCATCTGCCCTAGATGTTACTCTGGGTCTACCAGAACGCGGTCTTTCCTGCACTCTCCCTGTTGTCTGGAACCGTTCCCTCAGTCTGTGAATGACAGACGGTGACACTTGAAGACGAAGGGCAACATTCCTTATGGATGCACCATCTTGTAGCCACGCTATGGCCCTACTCCTGTCGCGAATGCTTAACGGTCTTCTCTGGGGCATGTTTAAGGAAATGTGTAACTTCACAGTGTCTGAAGCTTCTTTATAAAGAAAAGTTGCCACCAACTGCATGGGAATTCTGACTTTCACGTGCACTAGGTTGTTGTGTTTTGGCATTTGAATCTGACCTGGCGAGGGAGTCTTTCTGCACCCAAGTTTTTTCCTGTTTTAGCATTTAATCTTATGTCTTCACAAAGACGTCTATAATTGAAAAGTTACAGTTATGTGTCCATAAAGCCCTAAAGGTGAAGCGTCAACACCAGTCTAAACTGGATATTTGGACAGTTAATGTTATTAAATGCAACATGCTTTCCTCTGTGAAGGCAATTAGTACATGAGGAGTACCAATACATGTACCAATCGGATCTCTCATTTCAAGATTTATATTCAGCATTTAAGTTTAAGTAAGAACCTGATGGTATATGACAGATCTTTTATTTGTTTTGTATCGTAGTGAGTTGCCACATTTCGGGCATGTATGTCCAAGTTAGCTGTGGAACAAGGACAATATGCCGGTGGAATAAAGTCTGCACTCATGTGCCCTATGTGACTTACATTTGCTAAAGGGCGTGTTTCATTCTTATGATTTTGTCTAGTTGATAGAAGTCTTGAAACATTATATCCCTGTAAACTATATCGAACATTGTTTTTTTTATAATCCTTAGTAATCTTAGTTCTTCTCAAAAGAAGTGTTTTATTTAAAGGTTCCAGTTATTTGTCCGTAAGTCCTAAATGTGAGGCAACAACACATGTCTTAACAGGATATTTGAAAACTTAATGTAATAAAATAGAACATGCCTTCCTCTGCGAAAAGAAATAAGTATAAAGATTATTAATACCTTAAACGTGCACCAACCTCATCTCTCATTGTTATTTTATCATATTATTTGTGTATATGGGCCACTAGCCTTAAGTACAGACATGAAGAATTGAATTGAATGTAAGTTTTAAAAAACAACAAATAAACCAATTACAAAAACCTATGCTGTATGTTCAGTGATTAACCACTTCAATTGAAGTCCACGAAAACGTAGCGGCTTCTTTGAAACCACATACTGTGTTAAGGCTATAATTGAAACCCACCAAGTAGGAAGTAGGTTCTGGGTGAGTGAACCACAGCTTCATAGGGCAGAATACAAAGCAAATAGAATTCTCAAGTGTGGGGCATACACAAGTGAATTCACAAAACGCATGAATGGATAACTAGCTATTTGTGAGTCGCTGTGTTACTACTATGTATATGGCCATCAAATGAACTTCCCAGGTAAATCAAATGTATTTTTATAGACTATTAAATTGAAGAAGATCACGGTACTCCATGCGTTCCATTGTACTGGAACAGCGTATACACGAATGTCTCAGTGAGTGAAGAGAAGATGCATCACACACATGTTTGTTGTACTTGTGTTTTACAGTTTTAGAATGACCATCAAAGTAAAAAGTATTTAATGTTTTTCATTGGAGATCTATATCATATAAGATATGTGTTTCCTAACCATGTCAAATAGAGTACAAACTGTCTTACCAACCATATTTTGCGAAGATCAAAATTCAGGGGAAATAGATGTATAGAGGCATTCACCAGACAAATATTACGATTGAATACACAGAAGGTATGGAAATTCCAGGCTTATTATTATTATTATTGATAGAAAAATAGTTTTGACTGAGAAGATTGTAATTTATATATGATATGTCAGACTATTTTCTACTTTTGAGCATCAAATAAACACTGGATCGAAATATTTAATACAGACGTTAGTGCAAGTGTTCTAGTAAATGAGATGTAGTATAATAAAAAAGTTGAATTGGATAAGAAGACAATTTCACAACACATTTTATTAAAGTGCGAGTGGAAATACTGTCATTTATGGTTACAAAAGTTTACGGTGGATCGCTGTCAAATATTGTTTTTATTTACTTGTCAGTGATGGATCTATGAACCATTGTGGTTTTGTATCGAAATAGGATTTTAAATCGAGTTGTCATGAAATCAATATGCAGCAGGGTACATGTTCAACAACTGAGGCAAAACATCATCTCCTTAGAGATTACGTTGATCTTGAAAATGAATATTGTACCAAGTGTAAGGTCTTGCTACAACAATCTTACTCTCATTATGTATTTCGAAATATAATGTGTGAACTATTTATGTGGTAAGTGTATATGTGCGTGCTGATTCCGCAAGGAAATTGCCTCATTCCCGGGAACAGCGTCCCTCCTTGCGTAATCCGCGAATTGGGCAGGAGTCAGTGCATAATCCCTTGGCATGAGTAACGACTTACTTTGATAATCAAACATTGTTCTATTTCAATAGTTCAGGGCATCTGTTTACATGAAGGTGTAACACAAGTCAAACTTCTAAAATACCATACCTTCATAGATTGGATAATACGCCGATTAATATAACAATAACTCAGTAAATGGCAATATAAAATGTATCTCGTCAACTTAAGAGAATAAACAGTCTCGATTTTCCACCGAAAACAGATTCCATTGGACGTAAACGACAACTGTTCAAAAGTACGTCAATAAAATACGTTATTGTGGCAATATAAACGATTAAAACATTCATCTGTCATATCATGTTGTGATGGGTGGCAGTGACTGGAACAGGTTTCCAGACTTGCATCTATTGGGAAGAGAATTATGGATGGCAACTTCTTGCATCTACTGAGCATTGACCAATACAGTAACATTTGCCGTAGCCGTGACCGCTACCAGTACTGTCAAATTTGTTAGCTGATCTTACCGATATGACAGAATCAGGCTGCCACATTCTGTTGCAAGGTTCAACCTGGTTCCTTCAAAATGTATCATTCAATGTAAATGTGAAACGTTGTTGTTGCTTTAGGAGTTTAAGAGGTCCGCCTTCTGCCTCAGATATTTCGGCTGACCTGTCCCTCTTTGAGACTCGTGTGTGTGAGTGGGGTACACAAATCTATTGCGAGTTTGGTATTCACAGAATTTCTGTTTTTGTATTGATATGATTTCTATTTTCGCATATTGAGATAATTTCATTTTTATCTTTGGCTGCTCTGTTTATATACTTTCGAGTAGCTGTCAATCTCTCAGAAATAGAGTTAGTTTGGCCTTCGCTATTGCATCTCTTGGCTTTAGGCGATCTATGACAGATAGCGGACCTAACTGTAATTCTTGTTTTAACGGGGTTCGGCTGGGGCATGGTCTTGACATTCCAGTATGAAGTAAGCAGTGGATTGAGGTTTATCGCAAGATGAATGCGAAATGTGAAACGCTCTAATAAATTACCATATAAATCAATAAGCTGTGATGATAAGTAGTGGATTATGCAGATTACTTAGTTGCCCAAACCAGGGAATGAGCAACACTCACTGCGTAATGACTTGGCCGGACAGAACGCCACACAAATGCAGTGACTGTGACTGATACGGCACACGGGTATGTTGTTGCGACATACACGTTCATGATTGCGTCTACATTCCCCATTGTGAGGGCAGTGGACCAAGACTCCGGGTACACTGTGCTGGAAAACAGATGTATCCGGGGTAGACATACTCGTACTGGGAGCATGGAGCCGAGGCAGGATGATGCCAATCCCATCATAAATGAAGCGCTGGCATCCTCTGGGAAAGGGGAGAAGTATCTATGGACAAAGGTAGGTGAATGTAGTCTCATGCTAGCGTCAGGTTGACATGCGCGAGATCTCAGGTAATGCAGAGAAGGCTCGTGTTGAACACGGAAATATAAATCAGCTGGTAATTCGAGTGTCGCCATTTTGAAGATTTCTAAAATGTGTCGGTTATATGTTATGTTGTATTGTGTTGTGATGGTGATGGTGCCATGTGGTCATGGTGATATGTGGTGAATGCGAAAAGCGGTCACAGTGATAGTTACGTGTGATGATTGTGACATGTGGTGATGTGATTGTGAAAGGTGGTGATGCTGACACGTGGTGACGGTCATTGTGACATATGAGGTGATGGTCATGTGGACACGTGGTGATGGTCATGTGACGTGATGATGGTCATGGGGACATGTGATCATGGTCATGGTGACATGTCATGGTCATGGTGACATGTGGTGATGGTCATAGGGACATGTGGTGATGGTCATGGGGACATGTGGTGATGTGGCATGGGGACATGTGTTGATAGTCATGATGACATGTGGTGATGATCATGGAGACATGTGGAGATGGTCATGGTGACATGTTGATGGTCACGGTCACATATGCTGATAGTCATGGTGATGGTGACGTGTGGTGATGGTTATGGTGACATGTGGTGATGGTCATGGGGACATGTGGTGATGGTCATGGTGATATGTGGTGATGTGGGTTGTGGTGATGGTCATGTGACGTGGTAATGGTCATGTGATATGTGGTGATGGTCATGGTGACATAAGGCATGTGGTGATGTCCATGGTGACATGTGGTGATGTCATGGGGACATGTTGTGATGTTATGGGGACATGAGATGATGGTCATGGGGACATATGGTGATGGTCATGTTGATATGTGGTTATGGTCATGTGACGTGGTAATGGTCATGTGGACATGAGGCATATGGTGATGGTCATGGTAACATGTGGTCATGGTGACATGTTGTGATTATTCATTTGACATGTTGTGATGGCAATGGTGAAATGTGGTGATGGTCATGGTGATATGTGGTGATGGTCATGGTGATATGTGGTGATGGTCATGGGGACATAATGTGATGGTCATGGAAACATATGGTGATGGTCATGGTCATATGTGGCCATGGTCATGGTCATATGTGGTGGTGTGGGTTGTGGTGATGGTCATGTGACATGTGGTCATGGTCATGGTGATATGTGGTGATGTTGGTTGTGGTGATGGTTTTGGTGATGTGTAGTGATGGTCATGTAACGTGGTGATGGTCATGGGAACATGTGTTGATGGTCATGTGACATGTGGTGATGGTCATTGGGACATGTGGTGGTGGTCATGGGGACATGTGGTGATGGTCATGGGGACATGTGATCATGGTCATGGTGATATGTGGTGATGGTCATGGTGATATGTGGTGATGGTCATGGGGACATGTGGTGATGGTCATGGGGACATGTGGTGATGGTCATAGGGACATGTTGTGATGGTCATGAGGACATGTGGTGATATGGCATGTGGTGATGGTCATGGGGACATGTAGGATGGTAATGCTGATTTGTGGTGATGGTCATGAGGATATGTGGTGATGGTTATGGGGCCATTTGGTGATTGAGACATGTTTAGATGGTCCTTTGGGACATGTGGTGATGTGACATGTGGTGATAGTCATGGGGACATGTAGGATGGTAATGCTGCTGGTGGTGATGGTCATTGGGACATGTGAGGATGGTCATGTGACTTGTGGTGATGTGGCATGTTGTTATGGTCATGGTGATGTATAGTGATGGTCATTTGATGTGGTAATGGTCATGTGACATGTGGTGATGGTCATGGTGACATGTGGTGATGGTCATGGTGACATATGCTGATGGTCATGGTGATGGTGACGTGTGGTGATGGTTATGGAGACATATGGTGAGGGTCATGGGGATAAGGGTGGTGATGGTCATGTGACATGGTAATGGTCATGTGACATGTGGCCATGGTCATGGTGATATGTGGTGGTGTGGGTTGTGGTGATGGTCATGTGGCATGTGGTCATGGTCATTGTGATAAGTGGTGATGTTGGTTGTGGTGATGGTCTTGGTGATGTGTAGTGATGGTCATGTAACGTGGTGATGGTCATGTGATGTGGTGATGGTCATAGGGACATGAGGTGATGGTCATTGGGACATGTGGTGGTGGTCATGGGGACATGTGATCATGGTCATGGTGATATGTGGTGATGGTCATGGGAACATGTGGTGATTATCATAGGTAAATGTGGTGATGGTCATTGGGACATGTGGTGATGGTCATAGGTACATGTGGTGATATGGCATGTGGTGATGATCTCAGGGACATGTGGTGATGGTCATGGGGACATGTGGTGATGGTCATAGGGACATGTGGTGATGGTCATGGGGACATGTGGTGATGGTCATAGGTACATGTGGTGATATGGCATGTGGTGATGATCTCGGGGACATGTGGTGAGGGTCATGGGGACATGTGGTGATGGTCATAGGGACATGTGGTGATGGTCAATGGGACATGTGGTGATAATGGCATGTGGTGATGGTCATGGGGATATGTGGTGATAATTGCATGTGGTGATGGTCATGGGGCCATTAAATGATTGAGACATGTGGTGATAGTCACGGGGACATGTAGGATGGTAATACTGATGTGTGGTGATGGTCATGGAGACATGTGGTGATGGTCATGGTGACATGTGATGATGGTCATGTGACTTGTGGTGTTCTTGCATGTTGTTATGGTCATGGTGATATGTGGTGATGTCATGGTGACATGTGGCGATGGTCATGGTGACTTGTGGTGATGCGGCATGTGGTGATAGTCATGGTGATGTATGGTGATGGACATGGGGGCATGGGACATGTGGTGATTGTCATGGTGATGTGTGGTGATGAATATGGGGACATGTGATGGTCATGGGGACATGTGGTGATGTCATGGAGACATGTGGTGATGGTCATGGAGACAGGTGGTGATGGTCATGGAGACACGTGGTGATGGTCATGGGGACATGTGATCATGGTCATGGTGATATGTGGTGATGGTCATGGGGACATGTGGTGATGGTCATGGGGAGATGTGGAGATGGTCATGGAGACATGTAGTGATGATGATGGGGACATGTGGAGATGGTCATGGAGACATGTGGTGATGTTGCATGTGGTGATGGTCATTGGGACATGTGGAGATGGTCATGGAGGCATGTGGTGATGGTCATGGAGACATGTGGTGATGGTCATGGAGACATGTGGTGATGTTGCATGTGGTGATGGTCATGGTGATGTGTGGTGATGGTCATGGTGACATGTGGTGATGTTGCATGTGGTGATGGTCATGGTGATATGTGGTGATGGTCATGGTGACATGTGGTGATGTTGCATGTGGTGATGGTCATGGTGATGTGTGGTGATGGTGTGGCATGTGGTGATAGTCATGGTGATGTGTGGTGATGGTGTGTCTTTTGGTGATGGTATAAATATATACACATGGTGATATTAGGGTAGCTCTGTTTTCTACGGCATTGTGATTTGGAGAAGTGCGATGTCCGCCACTAATGGTAGAGCACACAGAGGGATAATAATGCCTTGAAAATGCGTTACCGTTGTTATGGCGAAAACAGACGTCAATGTGTCTATGTGACCTTGTCCAGAAAAACGTCACGTACGCGAGGCGTCATTTGACCTGGACCTTCGATTCCCCCAACACTGGAGAAGGTCATTTGCATGCTGTTAGAACGTCACATGCTGTCTCTTTTCCTAGTACATATATACACTATATAATCATGTCGTTAGAGCTGCACCCATACAGTAATGTACGTCATTATTCTTTAAATCCACATGGCAACATGACTGATAATGTCCCGTCGCTGACCCAAACATGGAATTTTCAAATTACAGCGAACTTTACGATAATCATATCCATTTTAGCAAGAAAGAAGCACATGCTAACAATCGGTGAAAACATCCGAGCAATGGCTCGTTCTCATAGTAAGAAAGTTATCTCTCCAAATTCATACACTGGAGTGATACTGATCTTGAAGATGTGTCTTGAACGCTGCCTGGAGAAATTAATAGACTATTCTAAAGGTGAGCGTTATCCTACAACATCGGTGGCACCCGTCACCCACACATACACAGGCAGGTCAGTTGTTCGCCTGAAAAAAACACGTAAACAAGCCCAAAACAGGCCATTACATCGGACATTATTGGGTCACTGATGCGACAAATTTTGTAATGCGTCTCCATGTCTACCATAAACACGTTTTGAAAGCTTTACTGAGGCCTTGAATGTTCTTGATCAAACAACTTCTGAGCAAGAGGTATGTGAAGGAAGGGGTTTAGTCATGTTGTTCCAGTGTTCTTGTAGGATGGCGGTTTTATAGACACAGGTATCTAGACCGGAATACATGACCTCTTCTGGAATTTTATTGTTAATGCTATTGAAGTGTGTCCATGTCTATCTCCAGAGAGCTACAAGACTCAACCCGGAATACAAGAACTACACGAGAGGAAGTGCCTACGAAACAGACACCACTCGCTCCTCCACCCGTCCACTGAAACATCCCTTTCTTCTGGAACATAAACGTCTCCTGGTTGTTGCAGTAGTTGTCGTCGTCATCGTTGTCGTTGGAGCGGCATGCGCAGTTGTAGGTGGTGTCCTAGCTAGCAACAAGACAGGTACGCATTTTTCTATTTGATTCGTTCATATCTGTAATGGAGACATCGGGTGCACGGGTGGCCCAGTCGCCATAGTTGCGTCCTTTCACGCCAGAAATTTATGATTGAGGGTTCGAATCCCGGTTCGCCCCGATTTTGTTTCTGGGTTTGTCAGCACCATACCAGTGCTCGTGGGTTTCACCGACGTGGTAAACGTATGAGACCTGCATCACTTTGGGCTTTCCTCACACATTAAGCTGATACGTCGCGATATAAGTGGAATACTGTTAAAGGCGGCGTAATACCAAACTCACTCACATTCACTAATGTGGAAATCATAAGAATCTGTTGATTCCGGCAGTTTAATCATCTAGCTCTGACTTAAATCTAACTTAAATGTTTGATGTATGCTTTCTCTATAATGTTATAGATTAGATGAATTTGTACATAATGCACACTCGGAATGTCCAAAATCAACTGCAACAACAATAGCTTGACGTCTTCAAAATAATTTAAAGATAGATCTGTGCATGGCTGGCTCTTACTGAGAAATGTGAAGACACACTTTGTATATAATTAAAACAAAATCATTACATTTTTCTGGTTCCTGTATACAGACATCTGTAATGAATACAGACTATTGTTTGTGGTAATTTCAGCGCCACAAGCTTCATCAACCAGACCAGCAACACATCCAGAAACATCCAGTAAACCTGGTATACCAACTGATTTAACATCGAAAACACAACCATCGTCAACAACATTCATTTCAACAGAACCATCAACTTCATCTTTGTCGCAAACAAGAACTTCTCCATCGGTACCATCGTCATCTTCATCGCCAACAACAGTGTCTACTACTACAACAACATCACCATCTACAGTTTCGTCTTCACCACAATCAACGATTTCTCCATCAACATCAACAACTTCCTCACAAACAACAACTTCACCTGCTTCATCAACAACGTTTCCATCATCAACATCGACTTCAACACCATCAACGTTAACAAGCCAGTCAACTACCACAGCAACCCTTCCCGAAACGACGATAACCACGTCGACGGTGACGACTACAACTACGTCCCTTCCATATTTGACAATGCCAGATATAACCTTTAATGAGGGCGAGGATGACTTGTATCTCCTTTGTACAATATCTGATGACTCCAAAATTATTAATGTCCTATTTTTCAAAGATGGGGTTCAACTTAAAGACGACGTCAGCATTGACGTCAATGGGAGAGAATGCTCCCTGACAAAGAAAGGAGCCACGTGTTCGGACTCGGGACAATATGAGTGTCGAGTAAGTGGTGAGTTTGGAACTGTCAAGACTACATCCACGGTTAAAGTACTTGGTAAGTACGTGTGATAGACTATTCTTTGAACGACAATTTCAACATTCATAAATCTACGCCAGGGAAGCTACTATTGATTCTGTTTAGGATATTATATCAATCAAATGTGGTTAGAAATCGGTCTTCCTACAGTATTCAATAATTAGAATTCTTGTGAAAACATGATAAATCTCAGGGCATCCAACATCCAGCCTTAAAACTATATTTTCGAATCATATATCACGTATAACCCTGTGTTTTCGATGAGCACAGGTTTGGATAAACGCTGACTCTTTCTAAAAATATTCAATCAAATTCAAACAAATGGTGACCTCATTTTAGTATCACATATTGCCAATTCGACTCCTTTCAATGGAACCAATGTAAATAGAATAAATGGACATTCTGTCCCCAACTTAGTTTCACCAGTTTCTTTTGACACAACCCTGGTGATGTGTACAAGTCCCTGAACTTCGTATGGCTTCTTCTGACAGGAAACATTAACTGTCCCCGCAGATTTCTAGATTCCAATGGTTTTCTTACAGTTCAACCCAGTAAGCCAACTCTAAAAATTACAAAAGAAAAACTGATCGAGGACGCGTGGCAGGCAACATTGTCCTGTGAGAGAACACTTGGGCAACCAGCGACCTCCCTCCGCTGGAGAGTGCTGTTCAACACTGGCGTGATCAGGGAAAACATTTTCAGCGCTCAGTCAAACATTACGACTCAAGAGGGATGTTCATCGTCTGTGATATCCGAAGTCACACAACGTTTTACGCGGCCTTGGGATGGTGCCGAGATATGCTGTTACTTGACAGATGCCGGAGGGATGACACTGAACCTGGAAGGCTGCGCTGTATTTACCTTCAAAACAGGTGTGTACGACGTGCATTGTAAATCACCTGACTAGAATGTTCATCTACACACAGGGTAGGTACGACGTGCATTGTAAATCACTTGACTAGAATGTTCATCTACACACAAGGTAGGTACGACGTGCATTGTAAATCATTTGACTAGAATGTTCATCTACACACAAGGTAGGTACGACGTGCATTGTAAATCACTTGACTAGAATGTTCATGTACACACAAAGTAGGTACGACGTGCATTGTAAATCACCTGACTAGAATGTTCATCTACGCACAAGGTAGGTACGACGTGCATTGTAAATCACTTGACTAGAATGTTCATGTACACACAAAGTAGGTACGACGTGCATTGTAAATCACTTGACTAGAATGTTCATGTACACACAAAGTAGGTACGACGTGCATTGTAAATCACTTGACTAGAATGTTCATCTGCACACAAGGTAGGTACGACGTGCATTGTAAATCATTTGACTAGAAGTTCATCTACACACAAGGTAGGTACGACGTGCATTGTAAATCACTTGACTAGAATGTTCATGTACACACAAAGTAGGTACGACGTGCATTGTAAATCACTTGACTAGAATGTATCCCTCATTGATACCGATTTATTTCCTTCCAGAGCTGGCTATTTATATTGTGTATACGACAAGATATGTTAACAAAGCCCTGCTGGTTGTAATAATTACAGACGTGTCTCCCTGTGACTGTACGGCTGACCGTGTGGCAGTCCCCAGACCCACCACATACCCCGACAACTGTAACCTGTACTACACGTGTAGTGGAGGTGTCAAACAGGACGCCACGTGTACCGGAAGTGACTTCACTGCCGACCCCAGCAAGCAGGCGTGTACCGCCAATCCAGATGACAGCTATTGTGCCAAGGTCAAAGGTGTGCAAAGCTTTAAATGTTATCACATAATAACGATATCATAAATAATACCACCGAGTCATTATCATTATTTATTATATAAGTGGTGTATTGATGAAAACGAATTACAACAAGGATCAATACAACAGTGATAAAAAGTAATTCTCAAATGTGAAAGAGTGAGTGAGTGAGTGAATATTGTTTTACGCCGCTTTTAGCAATATTCAAGGAATATCACGGCGGGGGACACCAGAAATGGGCTTCACACATTGTGCCTATGTGGGGAATCGAACCCTGGACTTCGGCGTGACGAGCGAACGCTTTAACCATTAGGCTACCCAACAGCCCCCAAATGTGAAAGAAATAGTGAAATTAAAAGAGTGCAACTATGGCCATTGACCTAGATCCAGGGTTACAACATATACAAAATGATATGCTTAACGCAAGCCACCAATTGCGTCTCAAAAACTATCACTGATACTTATTAATCACATATACCACTTAAAACAAGAAACGCATACCTGAATTCAACGACATTTTAAGGTAAAGAGCTGTTCATATGGTTACAAAGATACATCAACGTTTTTAATATTGTCAGTGTCAGAAGAATTCACAAATATACACACGAGTTCGCATGAAACGATAAGTTCTACAATGTTTAGGGCTCAGAATTACGGCGTCATAAACACCCATCAAGTTCGCCCCACAAATGTTCAGCTGAGGTCAGGTCTGTGGATATATGTGGGCGCTAAAGAACAGGGGTGTTGTTCTGTACTTGGGAATCAGCTGTGAGTCGAGCTGAGGGTGGGTGGGCATTGTCATGTTGGTCCAACGTTTTGTAAGATTCGTGGGACTTTAACATGTTTATTTTTTCTTCAGATTCTTTGACGTTTTAATCTGTTCGTCTTTTGCTTTAAAGGATGGTGATGAAAACCAACAATGTGCACGTTGTGAAACCATTCATCTCTAATGATACCCATCTCTGAATGACTTTAATACTTTTCAGAATATGCGTTTCTTTTCCTGCTAGGCATACTTTTTTTTAAAATATAACAACAATAACAATATTTTAACGCTTTCTGATTTTAAATGCAATAGAAAATAATTACATAATCAATAATCAATACACATTAAGCTTATTTTGTGATACCACACAATATGATTTATAATACCATTTATTTTTTCACAGCAAATGAAATCAAAGTGTGCACGACAACGGGCAAGTGACGTGGATAATTTACTCTCCAGTTTAGTCAGCCTTGGCTGTGAAGATATCTGTGATGTTAACGGTGTACAGATCTCCTCCATGCCTCGTCATGGGCCAAACACAAGCAGAATGTGCGGGGTGGGGTGAGGGATGTGTCATGAATGAGCTCTGTTGTTCGTTGCTGTTAGCAGTATTTCCGTTATGTCACCGCTTTGAGTGTGAGGAAAACCCGAACTGATGCAACGGTTGGACATTTATCGCCAAGAAACATCATCAGGGCGAAACTGGGATTCCATCTCATCATCAGGCGATTCTGGCACGACTAAGAGACATGTTAATATGATATGTTCATTTGAAGTATATTTTCTTTGTTTTTGCTACAATGACATGTATTATGTCGGGTTAAACATGTCTCAGTTAATCTTGTCATAGTTGTGATAATTATATGTATTGTGATGTTGTCATATCAAACATTATTTAAGCCAAGAGTTTAACTGATCAGCCAACTCACCGTTAAGCCATGTTGTTGCGTTGTAACGGTTCTCTAAGGTGTGGAATTCCAGTTGTTATGTTGTAGCTGTATATTAACTTAAACTTGAGATATATTGTCATTGTGTCTTGTTTTGTTTTCTGTCTCTTCGTTGAGGCTTCGGGGTAGAATATGTTCTGAGTAGCCGACACATATATTTGGTGTAAGAGCCGACAAATGAAGATCGGGCGGTAAGGCGTGGTGACGTAGCTGATTACCCATCGCCCAACCGATGAGGTAGATCGTTACTTGATTCAGCAAAAAAAACAATGTGCAAAATACTGTTAGCCTATACTCATGTTTAGAGGTAGTGGCTAGTAGTAGAGCGCCCGCCCGGGGAGCGAAGGTACTTGTTGTTACCCTGCCTGGCGCTCGGCATTAAGGGGCTAAAACAAGGACTGGTCGGCTCGGAGTGAGTATACTGTGTCTGAGTGGTGTATCCATGTTAATCTGCGGCATTGTATCTCAGTCGGCTAGCACTATATATCGGCATCAGTCCGTTCTAGTACAAGCAGCCACACACACACACACACGTGCATGCACGTCGCTATATAAGTGCAATAATCTCGGACGCGACGTTAAACTTTCACCTCACTTACATCCATCCAGTTATTAAAACTGACCATGTTTTTTCTATATTTAGTACTGTCATTTTCAACATGATGGCTTTTTCTGAATGTGACCACAGAAATGTTTTCTAGTAGATGACATTTGATGCGGAACTGGGGGTGGTGTGTTCAGCTTCCTGTACTCGGAAAAGGAGATGGCTGAGCTCGTCATTTATTTTGATTTTATTGCTGCTCTAAGGCCAAACTGTGCACACACGTACAGGCGTTATAGCTGTTGAATTGCTTAGTTAATTATTTTTTTTAAATATAACGTTACTATAGAAGTCTATGGGAAAATATTTGGTTGTGTGTCACCTAAGAAGAACTCAGTATAAGAATGATAAAAGGGAAGCAACTCTGGCTAGTTTCTCGAGAAGTGTAGGAAGACCGCTTCTGGCTAGCGGCGTGGTCGAAAGTGTGTTGTCAGTCGCTTCCTTTTTGTCTGATCTGCTTTTACTCAGGGATGAGTTCTTCTTTTTTTCAGAAAAGAAATAGTGATTACTTGCGGTTATAAAATCTAAACTGTATCATGAGGTAGATTGGTTAATCATCTCAATTGATGTTTTGGGCGCAAATAGACCTTTCATGATCCTAGTTGCCCCAAAACACAAATACCATACCATGCAATGGAGAAGTGAACAGAAGACAATTCATCTATCACAAGAAACACCAGTCGATTTACACGTGTGAGAAAATCACCTATAATCACACGCCCAACCGGACACCCTGATAGAGGAGTAATGTGATAACAGTGTCCATCACCACCAACTGGACACCTTGATACACCCGGGCTAGAATAGGTCTTCAGGAACCCACGCTTGCCGTAAAAGGCGACTATGCTTGTCGTAAGAGGCGACTAACGGGATCGGGTGGTCAGGCTCGCTGACTTGGTTGAAGCATGTCATCGATCCCAATTGCGTGGATCGATGCTTTAGACATCAATCACTGGGTTGTCTGGTCCATACTCGATTATTTACTGACCGCCGTCATATAGCTGGAATATTGCTGAGTTCGGGGTAAAACAACAAACAAACAAACCTTGATACAGAGGATGAAGTCAGGTGAAAATTGTGTCAATCCCCACCAACTGGACACCCTGATACAGTATGGAGTAAGGTGACAGCAGTGTGCATCACCGCCATATCTGAACATATTGTACAGACCCTGGGGTGATTCGTACCAGGAGTGTACAAGTGAAGACCTGGGTTTTTTAAAGTATACTACTCAAAAGAGTAGTCCTGACAGATTAACATTACCATTATGAAAGAATCGGGTGATCCTTAACCCCTTTTGAGTAGTATATATGTTGCCACAATTAGGTTGGTAAATTATTCTTTATATTTCCTGAGGAACCCATTCATAGTTAACATTCGGAAATGTATAATTTCAGGGGTGCTTGCTACTGTTGATTTTAATTGGCTAATCTGCTCCCAAGATACACACCAGTATGTGTCACATGTCAGACTAGATGTTAGTCTGTGTCAGTGAAATCAAGGTAGTAATCTTCGTACATAGAGCTTAGTGAGTGAACCACTCGGCTACAGACGCTGAGCAAGGATTTTAAGAATATCTTTTTGTACACACAGGCCAGCAAGAGATATTTTACGTCCGTTTCCTACGATTCATGGAGAATGTGTTTGAAACCACAAACATGTCTATTGACTTGCGCTGTCAGGATTTAAGCAGTGTCACACAATGCGCATCACCTGGCAACCCCTCACAACAGAGTATCATCTGTTTCATGCTTTTCATAGCAGAGTCAAGTCTTTACAAAGTTGACAATATATTTATGAGTAAAAGTTACTTTTCATAGACACTTGGATGCCTTAGGCCACGCTCCAATTAGTAAGATGTATTTTAATATGCTTCTAAAATCATTGCCTTTCTTTAAGTAATCACAAGAAAAGGCCAAAAATCTATATATTTTCATTGCCAACAGTTCTTTAGTCTTACGTTTCATAAATCCATACTTTAGTCATATCAGTGTTGCAGGACTTGCATGGAGAAGGTCATATAGCCACTCCCTGTATGGCTCTCTGCCTTAGCAGTCGGCCACTACTTTACTAGAAGTAGTCTTCCTAAGTCAATCTACTCCTAATGGCAATATTACACCAAAGCAACAGGAATGATGCCTAACCAAAAATATGAAATACATAATGTGCAAAATTCAATGTATTTTCTATTTCTAGAAAAAGAAATAATGTCACAATCCATCACATTTGCAATAGATACCATATTCCTTTATGAATATGTGTGTACTCGATTATAATATATATATATATATATATATATATATATATATATATATATATTACACACACATTTGAAATTACTATCCTATAGAATTAATCGAGAATTCCAATAATTCTTGAGCTCAACATACATCTAGATGCAACACACTGCAACCTGAATAGCTCCAACTGTACAGAAAAGAGAACAATGATTTCCAAATCAGAAATTTTTATTTCACAAATATGCACATTTGATTGAGCAGTAGAGAAAGTTGCTGAAAGCCGACACAGTGGAAGCAAGAGGCCAGTCAAATAAGGCATTTTGGCAGTGCAAGATACATCACCCTGAACCAGGTGTGTGGACACCCTGCATGCCCCCCTCCAACCCAGGTGGAACCACTGTTACCTCAACCTAACCCTCAACAGCTGGGCACAAGCCAGGCATTATGCTGAATAACAGAGGACTATAGGTACACACAAAAGGTGTTCTCTGTCCTGGTTTGGAGATCAGGCTACTGACCATTCTTATTTTATACAGAAGAAGAATTCTCAAACATGATTCTAAATGTTAATTCTGTAAACTCTCAGGAGTATTGTATGAATGTTCCACCCCCTATATACACCGTCTGTATACTAACAGGTCTACTCCTGGTGGTTCTCTGGCTTATGCCAGGGATCCACCTGGGCGAGGGACATGAGAATACCTACTGGTGCCTGATTTGGAATGTAATGCAATTTATACAAAATACCAAAATGCTTCAAACGATGATATACATGTATAAAAAGATAGCACATTGATATTTTGATGACATCATAAAAATATGCTTAAAATTATCAAAATGTATTGGCAAGTCCAAAATCTCTTTAGAAGTAGAGGTATATGCAAAGTTGATAAAATAAATAGCAAAATAATGGCATGGATACAAAACTGACCAGAAGTGGGTTATATGGGTGAATATCACTAACTAAAGCTACAATAATATCAACATAGGAGTACAATACTGTCAACTGTTCTGAGCACTACAACACGGCAGGAAGACAGTCATCAGGTCCCGCCTACAGCAGGTGAGATACATGGGTAGGCCACATTATGCCACAACCAAATGTTAAGGCTGTCAATGGTACATGAAACTGCAATATTCAGGTTCATGCTTGACTGAAGATGAGACCTGATGACATGTCAGTCAATGGCACCTCTATAAGTAGTTGAGGGCTGAGCTCTACAACGCAATTGTTTGGCATGATATTAGTTGTGGCGGACTACTAGCAACAGCACTTACTAAACCATGTAGTCACTACCGTAACAGCACTGTACATATGTTATAGCTAAGCACCTTCTGGGCACGTATCTCTCACCCCACCATCATGTAACAGTCATGGAACCACGATTGTCTCTCCAACGCCATCTCCGACATTTGGAAAAGGCCACTTGTAATGTGAAAAAAGCAAGGAGTGGATGTAACTAGTTACACTAACTTGATATATCCATTCTACATGTCCCCAGGTTACACATCTACTGAGATGTTATAGATGAAAGATATTCAGATAAAATATGCTTTCTTTGAGCAAATGTAAAGCCAGAAGGATTTTTAGACTCTTTCCATTATGGTTTTAAGAACCTTTAATTGCAATAATGAATCAGGGACCTTTAAGTAGAAAATGGTATTGTCCAGAATTATGACACTCTTGACGTTTGGTGTACAAATTCTGGCAACATTGAGCCCAAAAGATAGCAAATAAAAAAAATATATATATCAACATCATTACAGGTGAAAGAGAAAAAGTGTCATGTTGTAAAGAAACATGAGAATATATATTGTACAAAATACCGCATGAAAATATGTAAAACAAAAAATAAGCTAAGTAGAATAGGGATGCATGTAGAGCTTATGCACCTCCAGTGAAAATGCTTGATTGCTAGTTAGGCCTGCTATGAACTACCTAACACCCTATCTTGGTCCCTGCCTGCTCCATAGAGTCACGTCAGTGGCTACACAAGCTTCTCAAGATGCACAATAGGAAAAACAGCACAAACAGATGTAGATTCAGCTTGATGATGGAGCTTTCATTATCCCTACCACAGTTCAAAGCATTATATGCCAATAGACAGGATTACCACAAGGACAGTTACTGCATGATCTGATGAACAATTGCGAAACATCTTGAGAAAGCTCCTCTGAGTCGTGTAGGTGGGTGGCTCCAGGGAGTAGAACACCTACGCACAGAAAACCTTCTATTGAGGA